CTCTACAAAAAGTTAAAAAATTAGCCAGATGTGGTGGTGCATGCCTGTGGTCCTAGCTACTTGGGAGGCTGAGGTAGGAGGATCACTTGAGCCCGGGAGATTGAGGCTGCAGTGAGCTGAGATTGTGCCACTTCACTCAAGCCTGGGCAACAGAAAGAAACCCTGTCTCAGAAAAAAAAAAAAAAAAAAAAAAAAAAGGAAGGAAAGAAAGAAAGAAAAGAAAAGAAAGAAAGGAAGAAAAGAAAGAGAGGAGCCTTAGGAGCCTTTATATACCTTTTGAATACCTACTGAATACCTCTCATTGACTACCTCTCATGCTGTCTCTGTTTCTCTCCCCTGGGGCAGGTGCAGGAGGAACAAAGAAAGGGACTCCTGCAGCGTCCGGCTGACCTGGCCCTTGTCATATACCTCATCCTTGCTGGCTTCTTCACTCTGTTCCGGGGCCTGGTGAGTCCACACTAGTTAGTCTCTCCATCCCCTGCCTCCGGTCTCCCTTCCCTGACCCACCTCTCCCACGCTGCCCTTCTTCCTGTTTGATCATCCAAGGAAGTTCTTCATCAAGTCTAACCTGAGTGTTCCATGACAAAGCCCCATTTCTCCCAGCCCAATCTGAGCTGGGCTGGGAGAGGCCAGAGCAAGGGGTGTGGACCTGGAAGGGTGGGGGAAGTTTCCTGTGGGAGGGATGTCTGAGGGTTCTTGGTATGTCTGTCTGCTCCAGGTGGTGCTTGACTGCCCCACAGATTCCTGCTTTGTCTATATCTACCAGTATGAGCCATACCTGCGGGACCCTGTGGCCTATCCTAAGGTGCAGGTGAGAGGGGAGTGGGGAGAAGACCATACCCCTGCCTTGGGTAGGGATCCTCTGGGCCTCTTTGAAGCAGGTGCCAGAAGCACAACTCAAGCAGGCAGAAGGCCATATGGAATTTGCTGTCCTACCAAAAAAAGGACAGATGTGGTCTTCAGGTATGACTGGATCCAGGTGCTCGAGGTGCAGACTCTGGGCTCTTCTTTTCTTTTCTTTTCTTTTCTTTTCTTTTCTTTTCTTTTCTTTTCCTTTCTTTTCTTTTTGGGTTTTTTTGTTTTGTTTTGTTTTTGTTTGTGTGGTTTTGTTTTGTTTTGTTTTGTTTTGTTTTGTTTTTGAGACAGAGTTTTGCTCTTGTCGCCCAGGCTGGATTGCAATGGCGTGATCTCTGATCACTGCAACCTCCACCTCCTGGGCTCAAGTGATTCTCCTGCCTCAGCCTCCTAAGTAGCTGGGATTACAGGCGTGCGCCACCATCCTCGGCTAATTTTGTATTTTTAGTAGATACGGGGTTTCACCATGTTGGTCAGGCTGGTCTCGAATTCCTGACCTCAAGTGATCCACCCACCTCGGCCTCCCAAAGTGCTGGGATTACAGGCGTGAGCCACCGTGCCCGGCCTCTGGGCTCTGCTTTCTTTGCATGACTCTGGTCTCAGGCAGTCCCTCTATGGGGTAGCAGAGACAGCCTGTGGCAGCTCCAGGCTTCCATGCACCCCACTCAGCCACCCCAGAGCATTGTGAGCCCTTATTACCCCTGAGCTTAAGCACAAGTCTTAGGCAGGCTCAGATTGACCCAGCCTGAATCACTTGCCCATCCCTTACTGAGCGTCATGGACAGGGGGCTGGAATGCTCCAACTGGCCAGGCCAGAGTCGCATGCCACTTCCAGAGAAAGGTCGGTAGGTTTGGTGTATGTGTTCGGTGAGTGGTGGCAAGGATCTGCAAGGGAAATAGGGGAGCACTTTGCAGAGAGCCTGGGTGGGGTCTGAGGCCATCCAGATCCTTCCTCAGGGCCTCCACCTCGGGTAGCTGCTCATCTCACAGGCTGGTGTCCCTCTCCTCCCGCCCCTGCAGATGCTGATGTACATGTTTTATGTCCTGCCTTTCTGCGGCCTGGCTGCCTATGCTCTCACCTTCCCTGGTTGTTCCTGGCTGCCAGACTGGGCCTTGGTGTTTGCTGGAGCCATCGGCCAGGTGAGGTGGCGGGTGGGTGGTTGAGCAGACATGTGGGAGGGAATTTCTGTCTACTCATCAACGACTTTGGTGTCCTCCCTGAGCTCTGTAATGATGGGCCCCCAAGAGACCCCAGCCCCAGGCCCGGTATCCCAGGATTCCCTAGTCTAGGGGAGACAAAGCCAGATACAGACACTCCAAGCCCCATGAAAAGAGGGACAGGGGCTGTGAAGGATTCCAGAAGGGAAAGGTTTCCTAGAAGCAGGGGCATAGGAGCTGGGCTTTGATGTACGGGGATGAGTTCTCCAGACAGGGAAGGGCATTCCAGGAATGGGAGCAGCATAAGGAGAAGCACAGAGGGAGAGAGTGATTTAGCAGGACCATAACATGGGTAAAGGCAGAGATAAGAGAAATTGGCAGCTAGATGCTGAAGGCTCTGAAAACTCTGGGACTGGGGACTTGTACTGAGGGTGATGGGGAGTTTGAGGAGGTGTTTGAGCAGTGGGGGCCAGTCAGAGCTAGGAGCCTTTTTCTGGGTTCCTGATGAAAAGTGCTAAAGCCTGGGCCCCAGCCGGGGAAGTAGGGACCAGGAAAACGTCTAGAATCCACAGGATTTGTGCCAAGACCTCTGGGATGGGGAAGACTGGGAGGAGGATCTGGAGCCAGGTCAGAGAGAGATGGGGTGCAGGGCCCAGGAGATGGGGTTAGGCAAGTGGGGAGGGACTCACAGAGAAGTGGATGAGCACGGGGAAGGGGGGGACAGAGAGGACACATAAAGGTAGGAATCTTTACAGACAGAAGGCCGGGCGAGGTGGCTCACACCTGTAATCCCAGCACTTTGGGAGGCCGAGGTGGGAGGGCTACTTGAGCCCAGGAGTCTGAGACCAGCCTAGGCAACATGGCAAAACCTGTCTCTACAAAAAGTACAAAAATTAGCTGGGCATGGTAGCACATGCCTGCTGTCTTAGCTACTCGGGAGGCTGGGATGGGAGGATTGCTTGAGCCCAGGAGGTTGAGGCTGCAGTGAGTCATGGTCGTGCCACTCCACTCCAGCCTGGCCAACAGAGCAAGACCCTATCTCTAAATAGATAGATGGATAGATAGATAGATAGATAGATAGATAGATAGATAGATAGATAGAGAGATAGATAGATAATTAGATAGAAAATTTAAAAATAAGCCAGGCATGGTGGCTCACGCCTGTAATCCTAGCTGGCACTTTGGGAGGCCAAGGTGGATGGATTGCCTGACCTCAGGAGTTTGAGACCAGCCTGGGCAACATGGCGAAACCCCATCTCTATTAAAAAATACAAAAAATTAACTGGGCGGAAAGGTGCACGCCTGTAGTACCAGCTACTCAGAGGAGGCTGATGCATGAGAATCGCTTGAACCCAGGAGGCAGCAGAGGTTGCAGTGAATGGAGATTGCACCAGTGCACTCCAGCATGGGCAAGAGAGTGAGACTCTGTCTCAAAAAAAAAAAAAAAAAAAAAAAAAAAAAAAAAAATAGAGAGAGACGGATGGACTGGAGATAGGAAACAGGTAGATGAGCAGAGCCCAAGAGGTGAGGATGGGCATCCCCTGGATTCTGCCTGACTTACCTGGTGGGCCGTCGGTGATGCTGGCATTTCGGTTCCTTCCTGGCCCCTGACATCCATCTTTCCTGTTCGGCTACCAGGCACAGTTCTCGCACATGGGGGCTTCCATGCACCTGCGCACACCCTTCACCTACCGTGTGCCTGAGGACACCTGGGGCTGCTTCTTCGTGTGCAATCTGCTGTATGCACTGGGCCCCCACCTGCTGGCCTACCGTTGCCTTCAGTGGCCTGCATTCTTCCACCAGCCACCACCCTCCGGCCCCATAGCCCTCCACAAGAAGCAGCATTGAGAGGGCCATGGACTTAGGACCCAGGACTCTGTTTAAGCGCCCAGCCAGCCCTACCTGGGGAAGTGGGGGTCCGGTGTTTTAGAGACAGGAGGGACATCTCCAGGTGTCGTTAGTCCTGGCTATGGTGGTTTCAGTCCAGTGGGTGGGATGGAGACCAACGACCAAGTGTTCCTGCAAGGAGAGCCTCTCACAGCTGTCACCATGCTTCAACCCCTACACGGACGCTTCCACCCCTTCCAGAATTTACCCATCATCCCCCCATGGATCCTTTTAGTAAAAACCCTTTCAATTTCCAAAATATCACTGCCTAAGTGTTTCAGGGTGCAGGGGCGAGGGACCCTCTTCTTGGGCCCCATGAGGGCCCATCCATCACTGCCATCGTGGTTGCCAGGAGCAAGAGGTGCTGGGATGGCAGAAGGTGGCCTCTGGTTGGTATGCATGGCTCCATCTTCCAGATGGGAAAACAGAGGCTCAGTATGGACAAGAGACCTGCCCAAGGTCACAGCCAGAGAGAAAAGTTCCTGCTCTACCAATAAATCATAACCAATAGCATGATATGTTTATTAAGCACCTACTGTATACCTTGACTGCTATATGCTGGATCTCACTCCTTATTCCAGATGGGGAAACCAAGGCTGCAGGTGAAGGTCCTGGTCTGAGATCATTCCCCTCCTCGGTCCCCGAGGCATGGTTGAGCTGAGACGGAGCCCCAGCGTGTTGGACCACAGAAACCTCAACCCTGCCTCTGCTATCTGGTCGAGTTGGGCTCATTTTAGGGGAAACTGAGTCCTGGAAGGAAGCCAAGGTGTTGGGAGAAAGACTCACTGTTTCCTAGTGTTTGATTTTTGAAGTTGGGTGAAAGGCCATGTTTAGGGGTGACTTGGGCCTGGAGTAAATCAGGGACTTGACCAGATGTCCCATTTTCTTTTCTTTCTTTCTTTCTTTTTTTTTTTTTTTTTGAGTTGGAGTTTTCACTCTTATTACCCAGGCTGATACGCAATGGCACAATCTCGGCTCACTGCAACCTCTGCCTCCCGGGTTCAAGCAATTCTCCTGCCTCAGCCTCCCGAGTAGCTGGGACCACAGGCATGTGTCACCACGCCTGGGTAATTTTATATTTTTAGTAGAGATATAGTTTCTCCATGTTGGTCAGGTTGGCCTCGAACTCCTGACCTCAGGTGATCCTCCTGCCTTGACCTCCCAAAGTGCTGGGATTACAGGCGTGAGCCACCGTGCCCAGCTTAGATGTCGGTTTTTCTTGCCCCTCCCAACCCCTACCGGAGATCTACTGTATGTCTGGCTATTGGACCTTCACCAAAGAGTCGGCAACAGGCTCAGAGAGGCCAACTGTCTCCATCAAGGTCCCACAGCCAGTGAGGGGCAGACTTGGATTGGGGCCTGTGGCTCCAGGTCACGGCAGAATGTGATTATTGTGAGGCCCCCACAGTGCACAATGAGCACCTTTGGGGTGCTGGAGACCAGGCCTCCACTATGACTACCCAATGGACAGATGGGTAAACTGAGGGCTGCAGGTCAAGTGATCTCTTTCACCAGATCCCCCAGGTCCCCTGCCAAAGCACAGTAACCATGATAGAAGACTCAGCCCCCTCCTCCATTTCAAAGATGGTTAAACTGAGGCTCAGAGAGATTCTTCCCTGGCCTAAGTTCAGCTAGCAGGGCGAGAGGAACTAGCTCTGCACTCCAAGCCCCGAGCGCTTCTTTCTCTGCCCGCGCTCCAGCCACCTCTCCAGGGGAGCGTGGGCTGCCGCGGCCCCTTTAACACACCCCGCCTTGCTCGCCTTCCTCCTCCCCTTGCAGGCAGACGCCGGGATTGCGCCGCCTGCAGGGACCTGCCCAGTCCTAACCGGGTGTGCTGTGAGCGCAGTCCGGGTGCGTAGGGGCCGCTCGGCGAGGGCCGCGCGGGCAAGATGGTAAGTGGGACTGTGGGCGCAGATGGTGCCTGCCCGGTCTCCCCAATCTGGGATTCTGTATGTCTCTGTCTCTGAATCTACATCCCTCCGAGTTTCTACTGTCTCCTCCTTTTCTCTGTCTCTCATTCTCTTTGATCTCTCTTTGTGGAACTCTCGGTTCTCTCCCTCTCCATCTCTCCCTGCTTCTCTCCATCTCTGTCACCCTCTCTGCCTTTTTCCTCTTCTCTCCATTTCTCTCTTTACCTGCCCCTATCTCTTCCTCCTCTTCTCTAATTCTCTCGGCCTCTGGCACTCTCCTGTCTCTCCCTCTCCCTCTGCCTCTCTGTCTCTCCCTCTCCCTCTCTGTCTCTCCCCTCTCTTTACCTGCCCCTATCTCTTCTTCCTCCTCTTCTCTAATTTTCTCGGCCTCTGCACTCTCCCTGCCTCCCTCCCTCTCCCTCTGCCTCCCTCTGGGTTCTCCCCTCTCCCTCCTCTCTCTGTCTCTCCCTCCTCTCTTCCCTCCTGGTTTCTCCCTCTGCCTCTCTGTTCTCCCTCCTGTCCCTCCCTCTCTCTCTGCTCCCTCCCTCTCCCTCTCTGTCTCTCCCCTCTCTCCCTCTCTGTCTCTCCCTCCTGCCTCTCTGTCTCTCCCTCTGCCTCTCTGTCTCTCCTCTCCCTCTGTCTCCTCTGCCTCTCTGTCTCTCCCCTCTCCATCTCTGTCTCTTCCTCTGCCTCTCTTCCCTCTCCTGCTTCTCTGGGGTTCTCCTTCCTCTCTTGTCTCTCCCTTTTCCATCTCTGCTCATTCCTCTGTCTCTCCCTTTCCATCTCAATTTTCTTTCCTCTCCACCTCTGGGTCCTTCCTCCTGCCCCTCTGTCCTCTTTTCCCCTGCCCCTCTGTCTCTCCCTCTGCCTCTCTGTCTCTCCCTCTACATCTGTCTCTTCCTTTCCATCTGTCTCTCCCTCTCCATCTCTGCGTCTCCGTCTTCCCTTACCCTTTTTCTGTGTCGCGCACTCTCTTCTCTGCCTCTCCCTGCCTTTCTCTCTGTCCCTGTTCTCTCCCCGTGTCTCTCCCCGTGTCTCTCCAGCTCTCCCCCCTCCCTGCCCGCCCCGGCCCGGTTTGCTGCAGTCTCCTGGCGCACGGATAACCTTGCTGCCGCCGCTCCTCCAGCTCTTCCCCACCCCCCCATCCCCGGCCCGGGCCAGGGCCAGAAGGGGGCGGGGGCAGCGAGCCTCGGGTTTTGGGGTGGGGGTGATGAGGCGGGATCTGGGGATCTGGGGCCAAGGGAGGGGGGAGTCTAGGGGCGTGGGTTCTTGCAGGAGCGAGGATGTGAGGTCCCAGGAGGAGGAGGGGGAGTTATGCGGGACCCCGGAAAGGGTGGGGGCATGGGCGTGTGCGAGGTCCTCGCTGTGGGGAAGGCAGGCCGGGAGGGAGCCAGGCCTCCGAAAGGCCAAGGCTGGGAGGCTGGACTGAGCGCCCTGTGCCCGTCCCCCAGGTGTGCGCTCGGGCGGCCCTCGGTCCCGGCGCGCTCTGGGCAGCGGCCTGGGGCGTCCTGCTGCTCACAGCCCCCGCGGGGGCGCAGCGTGGCCGGAAGAAGGTCGTGCACGTGCTAGGTGAGTCCGGGCCGCTAAAAGTGGTCTTCTCCGCGAAAAGCAAAAGAGGCCAAGTGCGGAGAGGTGTAGGGGGTAGGGCGTTCCTGACGCCCACGGTTCCGCCAACCACTCCCCATCTAAGCCCCTCGCCCTCTCCCTGAGCCCCTGGACCCTTCTGATTCCCCGACCCCCGCCGAGTCTTCCCACCTTCCCCTCCCCAGAGACCCCTTCCCCAGGGCCCCCCTTCTTCCCCTAGGCCCCTTCTCTGAACCCTGCTTGGTTGTCCGCAGAGGGTGAGTCGGGCTCGGTAGTGGTACAGACAGCGCCCGGGCAGGTGGTAAGCCACCGGGGTGGCACCATCGTCTTGCCCTGCCGGTACCACTATGAGGCAGCCGCCCACGGTCACGACGGCGTCCGGCTCAAGTGGACAAAGGTGGTGGACCCGCTGGCCTTCACCGACGTCTTCGTGGCACTAGGCCCCCAGCACCGGGCATTTGGCAGCTACCGTGGGCGGGCTGAGCTGCAGGGCGACGGGCCTGGGGATGCCTCCCTGGTCCTCCGCAATGTCACGCTGCAAGACTACGGGCGCTATGAGTGCGAAGTCACCAATGAGTTGGAAGACGACGCTGGCATGGTCAAGCTGGACCTGGAAGGTGATCAGCCGGTGGGGAGGATAAACCTTGCTTCTGAGGAAGGAGGGGGACAGGGATGGCAAGGGACATAAATCAAATCAAGTTGGCCTGCAGGCATTTAGAGGGTTGGTGGGGTAGAGCCCCCATATCTGATTCTGGGTGATTTGCCTCCCCATGGACATTGGCGATGTCTGGAGATAGTTTAGGTTGCCACATCTGGAGAAGTCAGTTGCTACTGGCCTCTAGTGGGTAGAGGCCAGGGATGCAGTTAAACATTCTACCAGGCACAGGATAGTCCCCCACAAAGAGTGATCCAGGCTGGGCATGGTGACTCACGACTGTAATCCCAGCACTTTGGGAGGTTGAGGCAGGCGGATCACCTGAGGTCAGGAGTTCAAGACCAGCCTGACCAACATGCTGAAACCCCATCTCTAGTAAAAATACAAAAATTAGCCAGGCATGATGGTGCATGACTGTAATTCCAGCTACTCGGGAAGCTGAGGTAGGAAAATCTCTTGAACCCCGGAGGCGGAGGTTGCAGTGAGCTGAGATCGTGCCACTGCACTCTAGCCTGGGCGACAGAGCCAGACTCCATCTCAAAAAAAAAAAAAAAAAAGTGATCCAGTCCAAAATGTCCACAATGAGGACACTGAGAAGTCCTGGGATAGGATTCAGGCACAGTGAGATCCAGGCACTCACACCATGTCAGGAACCATCCTTCTGCTCTGCTTCCCAGGTAGGCTTTCTTCCGACAGGTTTCTCTTTCTGGAACCAGACCACAGTGCCTAGGCTTCGCGACTGATTTCCTAGGAGCAGCAGCTAGAGTCCCAGAGTTGTCCCTCACTGGCTCAGCTTGAGTCATGTGCCCAACTGTGAGCCAATCACTGTAGCTGGAAGGTGGGATGCTCTGATTGGCTGACCCTGGAGCTGGGAGGTGGGGTTTCTATTTGAAGAATTCCTTCCCATTTGGTTGGCCTTTTTCAGTTCACTTTAGAAGATTCTAGGTGAGATTTCAGGGCCCTTGCTTGCTGACCTCCCTAACAATAGCAAATAACAATAATAGCAGCAGCTCTCCTTTACTGGACATTTTCTATGTGACAGGTGCTTAGCTGAAGAGTTCTCAGGAGTCTCTAATTTAATTTCCTAAAAACCCCAAGGGAGACGGCTATTACCAGCAGACCGACAACAGGCTCAGAGAGGTTACAGCCTTGCCCAGGACAGTGCTAGTTGGTGGCAGAGCCAGGATTCAATCCCCAGTCTGTCAGCTCCAGGTCTTCTCCCTGGCCCCTGTCTGCCTCTTTCCTGGGTGCCCCACTCACCCCCAACTCCCATCCCTCAAACACAGACGCATAAAATACTTGAGCTGAACGGACTGTGAGTCCAATGAGGGACAAGTTCCAAAGTCATCAGAACTGAAGGTAGAAGGGAACCCAGTGGGTCCTGCCTTGGACAATGCTGGGGGTATCAAAGGGGTCTTCACCTAGGGCCAATCTTCCAGGGGGTCCTAGTCTAGGAAAGTCAGCACTGAACGCAGGCTCCGTGGGCTCAGGGCTGGACCACAGGGAGGGACCCAGTACTGGGGAAATGTCAGAGGCACACAGGACTGAATGGAAGAGGGTTTGGGAGTTGGGTTTTGAAGGATAAATAGGAGTCCAACAGGTAGAATAAGGTGGAAAGAGCATGAGCAAAGGCCTCCAGCGGTAGAAGGGGATGGACACAATAGTATGTTAAGGGGGAGGGTCAAGTGAATCCCAAGCTTAAAGTGAAGAGAGCCAGTTATGTGGGGTGTGAGCTGGGGAGGGTCATGGTCAGGTCTGAGGCCAGAGTGAGTAGACTGGAAGGTCCCGGTTGAAGAGTCATATAGCACCCCAGACGTCAGATGCATGAAGGTGGGCTGAGGTGAACCGGCTGATCCCGTGCGCCCCCTGCCAGGCGTGGTCTTTCCCTACCACCCCCGTGGAGGCCGATACAAGCTGACCTTCGCGGAGGCGCAGCGCGCATGCGCCGAGCAGGACGGTATCCTGGCATCTGCAGAACAGCTGCACGCGGCCTGGCGCGACGGCCTGGACTGGTGCAATGCAGGCTGGTTGCGCGACGGCTCTGTGCAATACCCCGTGAACCGACCCCGGGAGCCCTGCGGCGGCCTAGGAGGGACCGGGAGCGCAGGGGACGGCGGTGATGCCAACGGGGGCGTGCGCAACTACGGGTATCGCCATAACGCCGAGGAACGCTACGACGCCTTCTGCTTCACGTCCAACCTGCCAGGTGCGTAGGCCTCATCCCCAGACGGGCCTCTGCCACAACACTACCCCAACCCTGGGGCCTTCTTCCCCACCCAGCTCTTAGTGATCATAAACAGGAGACCCCTCTCCCAAGAGTGCCTAGGTGAAGCACACACCGCCTGGCACCAACACTGGTTGGGCCGAGGCTGGGGTCCCAGGCCGCAAAGGAGGAACTGTTCCTGGATCCCGGAGCCGAGGGCCAGAGTCCTGGGCTGCATGCGGGGGGCAGTCCTGAATCCCGAGGCCGGGTCCCAGGAGCCGCACTAATAACCCACCCCCCTACCCCATCCCCGCAGGGCGGGTGTTCTTCCTGAAGCCGCTGCGGCCTGTACCCTTCTCTGGAGCTGCGCGCGCGTGTGCTGCGCGTGGCGCGGCCGTGGCCAAGGTGGGGCAGCTGTTCGCCGCGTGGAAGCTGCAGCTGCTGGACCGCTGCACCGCGGGTTGGCTGGCCGATGGCAGCGCGCGCTACCCCATCGTGAACCCGCGCACGCGCTGCGGAGGCCGCCGGCCTGGTGTGCGCAGCCTCGGCTTCCCGGACGCCACCCGACGGCTCTTCGGCGTCTACTGCTACCGCGCTCCAGGAGCACCGGACCCGGCACCCGGCGGCTGGGGCTGGGGCTGGGCGGGCGGCGGCGGCTGGGCAGGGGGCGCGCGCGATCCTGCTGCCTGGACCCCGCTGCGCGTCTAGGCTGGCAGCAGGCGGACAGCCAGGGCGCTTGACCACTGGTCTAGAGCCCTGCGGTCCCCTGCAGGCTGGCCACGCTTCTGAAGCCCTGGACACTGGCCGCATTCCCTGTGGTCCCTTACAAACTAACTGTGCCCCTGGGGTCCTTGAAGATTGGCTAGTCCTGGCAGAAGAGTACTTTGGAGTTCCCTGGAGCCTGGCCAGCCTTCACCTCTTCTGGACAGAGGATTCCCCCAACTCCCCAAGTTTCTCCATGAGGGCCACGCCCCCTGAGGACCTCAGGAGGCCAGCAGACCCAGCAGGCTCCTGAAGACTGGCCACGCCTCCTGAGACCACTTGGAAACAGACCAACCGCCACCGTGGTCGCCTGGTGGCTGGACCCCCGGGATTGACTAGAGACTGGCTGTACATCTTCTGCATCTCACTGGAGACTGAACACTAGTCCCTTGCGGTCCCGTGGACACTGGGCCTCCTCCTCCTCACCTGGAGAGACTACAAGAACTTCAGGGTCACTCCCCGTGGTCACATGGAGGTTGTGGGCCGAGGAACTTGTTTTCCCTTATGGTGACCTGAGCACTGGAGACTCCCATTCTCCCCCTCTCCCTGAGAGTCCCCTGAAGTTTCTGGGTAACAGGGCCCACCCCTCTAGTTTCACAGGCGAGCACCTCTATCTGCCACCTCAGACTGACACACAGCCTGCTGGCTCACTTACTGGGGGCCACGTCCCACCCCTCAGATATTTCTTTGAAGGCAGAGCAAACCCACCCTATCCTCTGACATCCTTTTCCCAACTGTCACCAAAGAGACCATCTTCCCAGGCCCGGGGACCCATAAGATCCATGTCACTCATTATGGAGAGCAGCGGCCCTGGGTCCCACTGTCACCAAGGCAACCAGTCCTGCTGCTACCTGTCACCTAGAGTCACACACCCCTTCCCTCATCAGGCACACCCATGAAGAGGGTGCCTCCCTCCTCCAGCTGTAACCACGTATATCACACATTTCCCATCTCACTGGCCCCCACCCCAGAGACCTCCACCTCAACTTCCGACTGTCGCTACCCTGACCCACCGCCATGGAGATCACACTCCCCGAAGCTGTCCCCAGGGTGACACAACATCCAGTTCTCTGACTCTCACCGTGGAAACAAACTGTCCCTGTCCCCAGGCCCACTCCAGTTCCAGGCCACCCTCCAAGCTCCACCCCCAGGCGGTTTGGACCCCACCACTGTTGCCATGGTGATCAAACTCTGGTGTCCAAGGTAACAGAACACCTGTCCCCCTAGGCTTTTCCTTGTGGACAACGGGGCCCTGTTCACCAAGCTGTCATCATAGAGACTGTCAATGTCCTCATGACAACCAAACTTCCAGCTCTCAGGAACTTCTCATTGCGGGCCAGAAGTCCTGAGTGCCTCCTACTAGGGCTACCCTACTGCACTCCATCAGGGGCCTGATGGCTGCCCCTTCCCCAGACAGGGCTGGACTTCTGGAGCTGCTAAGCCACCCTCTGTTTGCACGTTAACTCTATGCCGGATAGCAGCTGTGCACGAGACAATCTTGCAACACCCAGGCATGTTTGTCGTCGTCCTACAAATGAGGAAACCGAGGCTAGGGCGTGCCCTGGCCTTTTTAGATATGCGAGCACTGAGCTCCTCTTTGTCCTTTGAAACCCCATCTCCATTCTCACTGAGTTGCCCTCTCCTTCCCTGACCTCCACCCACATTTCCCTCCTTAGAGATCTGGGAGGGATGGAATGTTTTTAAACTTCAACACCCATCAGGCTCTAAGTGGTCCAGCCAAAGTCCTCGGCGTTGACAGGCAGCTGGGGGGACATGATCCATGGACAAGGCCATCCCGGCCATGGGAGACCCCAGTCCCGAGGTCTTGCCTGTAGGAGTACTGGGGTCCCCCCTGGAGCCCTCTTTACTGTCACATCATCTCTAGGAAACCTATCTCTGAGTTTTGGGACCAGGTCGGTTTGGGTTTGAATCCTGCCTCTTCTTGCTCACTGTGTGACCAAGTGACAAAATCCTTCTGAACCTGTGTTCTCCCACTGTACCAGGGATGTTTGGTCCCCGTGAGTGCCAAGCATACAGGAGGGGCTCAATAAATCCTTGTTTCTTTTGATGAATGAGAAAATGAGGCAGCCAGTGGGTAATTCCTTTATAAATGCACTTTGGTAGATAAGATGTTACAAGCTGGGGGGCCTTGGGTTTTTTTTTTTTTTCGTTTTGTTTTTTTGAAATGGAGTCTCACTCTGTCGCCTAGGCTGGAGTGGAGTGGTGCAATCTTGACTCACTGCAGCCTCCACCTCCCGGGTTCAAGTGATTCTCCTGCCTCAGCCTCCCGAGTAGCTGGGATTACAGGTGCCTGCCACCACACCCAGCTAATTTTTGTATTTTTAGTAGAGAGAGGGTTTCACCATGTTGGCCAGGCTGGTCTTGAACTCCTGACCTCAGGTGATCCACCCACCTCAGCCTCCCAAAGTGTTGGGATTACAGGCGCCTGGCCAGGCTTGGTTTTTATTCCCTTGAAAAGTGGTGTCCTTCATTCCTCCCCCACCTCCCCAATCTCTCACTCCTCTTTCTTCCTCCATCCTGTGTCCACTCTCTCCCTTGAGCCACCTACCATGGGTCTGCTCCTTGTCAACTCTGTCCTGACTGGGCCATTGACAAGATCCAGGGCATGAAATTTGGGAAACTGGATGGGGAGTTCCTGTATCCGGAAGGGAGAGATGTTGTATACTTTCCCTGACATAAATATGTGGGCTCAGGGTGGGGACTGAGGAAGCACTGGAAGTTTCTAGGATACAAACAAAGCATGAAGAGAAAAAATAGCATAAGGTCCTGACCGTGCACAGGGGCTTATGCCTATAATCCCAGCACTTTAAGAGACTGAGGTGGGAGGATTGCTTGAGCCCAGGAGGTCGAAGCTGCAGTGAGCCATGATTGCACCACTGCACTCCAGCTTGGGCAACAGAGTGAGACCCTGTCTCAAGAAATAAAAAGCAAATCTCCCCTTCCCCATTCTTTTGATAGTCTGAAGAGGATCGATGGTTTGGATTGAATGCACCACAATTTTGTAGTCAGGTTCCTAATGGTGGACATTTTTCTGTTTGAAGTTAAGTATCCACATCATCACTCACAAGTTCAAGTATAACTGGAGGGTGATATCAGAAGTTGTTTGTTCAAAGGTTCAAAACTCCCCATTTACTTTCTTTTTTTTTTTTTTTTTTTTTTTTTGAGACGGAGTCTTGCTCTGTAGCCCGGGCTGGACTGCAGTGGCCGGATCTCAGCTCACTGCAAGCTCCGCCTCCCGGGTTTACGCCATTCTCCTGCCTCAGCCTCCGGAGTAGCTGGGACTACAGGCGCCCGCCACCTCGCCCGGCTAGTTTTTTGTATTTTTAGTAGAGACGGGGTTTCACCGTGTTAGCCAGGATGGTCTCGATCTCCTGACCTCGTGATCCTCCCGTCTCGGCCTCCCAAAGTGCTGGGATTACAGGCTTGAGCCACCGCGCCCGGCCTACTTTCTTTTTTTTTAAATAGAGTTTCACTCTTGTTGCCCAGGCTGGAGTGCAATGGCACAATCTCGGCTCACCTCGACCTCTGCTTCAAGCGATTCTCCTTCCTCAGCCTCCAAAGTAGTTGGGATTACAGGCACCTGCCACTACGCCCAACTAATCTTTGTATTTTTAGTAGAGATGGGGTTTTACCATGTTGGTCAGGTTGGTCTCGAACTCCTGACCTCAGGTGATCCACCTGCCTCGGCCTCCTACAGTGCTGGCATTACAGACATGAGCCACTGCACGCAGCCTAAAACTTGCCATTTTCATAGTGATTTCCACGTTTTCTTAGAGATGGGGCAATTTATACTTCACAAGTAGTAGATATACTCACCTGTCTGGGCATGGTGGCTCACGGCTATAATCTCAACACTTTGGGAGGCCGAGATGGGTGGATCACCTGAGGCCAGGAGTTCAAGACTAGCCTGGCCAACATGGTAAAACCCCATCTCTACCAAAAATACAACATTAGCCCAGCATGGTGGCAGGCACCTGTAATCCCGACTACTTGGGAGATTGAGGCAGGAGAATCACTTGAACCAAGGAGGCGGAGGTTACAGTGAGCTGAGATCACGCCACTGTACTCCAGCCTGGGCGATAGGGTGAGACTCCTCAAAAAAAAAAAAAAAAAAAGTGCTCACCTGTTCCACACATCCTCATCAGCCTCATGTCTTGTCACTTTTTATTTTTGTCAATCTGATAGGTGAAAAATGGTATCTCACTGTGATTGTTGCTTGCGATTCTATTTGTGAGGTTGAACATCTCCAACCATCACCACTAACTTTGACCTTAGGTGCAGGTGGTCAAGTAAATTGTAAATCATTCATAGTTCAAGCACATTATCATCTTTGATGTATGCAAGGATCTCTCTCTCTCTTTTTTTTTTTTTTTTTTTGAGACGGAGATCACTCCATCATCCAGGTTGGAGTGCAATGGCGTGACTTTGGCTCACTGCAACCTCCACCTCCTGGGTTCAAGTGATTCTCCTGCATCAGCCTCCTGAGTAGCTGGGATTACAGGTGTGCATCACCACGCATGGCTAATTTTTGTATGTTTAGTAGAGACAGGGTTTCACCATGTTGGCCAGGCTGGTCTTGAACTCCTGGCCCCATGTGATCTGCTCAACTTAGCCTCCCAAATTGCTGGGATTACAGGCGTGAGCCACCAGGCCCAGCCATCTTTTGTTACATTTGTTTATTCTCTTATATTTTTATGCCCTTTCTTGTGAATCTAGATGTTCTTGCAAAATGTGTATTATTTTATTGAGTCTATGTTGTAGTTTTAGAGCTGCTATTTCCTTTTTTGTAAACATTTTCTTTATATCTTTTGCCTGCTTGGCTACTGGATTTGTCTTTTTCCTATTGATTTGTGTGAGCCCTTCCTTTTTTTCTTTTTCTTTTCTTTTCTTTTTTTTTTTTTTTTTTTTTTTTTTTGAGACAAAATCTCTCTCTGTTGCCAGGCTAAAGTACAGTGGCACGATCTCAGCTCACTGCAACTTCTGCCTCCTTGGTTCAAGTGATTCTCCTGCCTCAGCCTCCTGAGTAGCTGGGGCTTACAGGCGCATGCCACCATGGCCAGCTAATTTTTGTATTTTTTTTTTTTTTTTGAGACGGAGTCTTGCTCTGTTGCCCAGGCTGGAGTGCAGCGGCGCGATCTCGGCTCACTGCAAGCTCCGCCTCCCGGGCTCACGCCATTCTCCTGCCTCAGCCTCCCGAGTTGCTGGGACCACAGGCGCCCGCCACTACGCCCAGCTAATTTTTTGTATTTTTAGCAGAGATGGGGTTTCACTGTGTTAGCCAGGATGGTCTTGATCTCCTGACCTCGTGATCCGCCTGCCTCGGCCTCCCAAAGTGCTGGGATTACAGGCATGAGTCACCGGGCCTGGCCTAATTTTTGTATTTTTAATAGAGACGGGGTTTCACCATGTTGGCCAAGATGGTCTCGATCTCTTGACCCTGTGATCCGCCCAGCTTGGCCTCCCAAGGTGCTGGGCGCGTGAGCCACCGCGCCCGCTCCCTTCTGCAAGAGGACTTTTGCTTTTGCTCTTTCCTCTGAGTGGGATGCCTTTCCTTTCTTTCTCTCCTCATCTAGTTAATGCGACTTCTCCTTTAGATTCTATTCCCCTCCTCTGGGAAGGCTTCTCTGACCACCCACTAAAGACCAAATCTTCTCTGTTCACCACTATCTCCCCAGCACCCAGTACTGGATCACCCTGGATCACAATAGCTGCTCGGTAAATACTTGCTGAATGAATGAATGAATGAATGAATGAATGAATGAATGAATGAAGGTATCAGGTGGTGACAGGCAGGTTGAACTGTTAAAAAATTTATTAAAATGTCCAAGAAGTACATTAATATCCACAGTGTCAGATACCACAGACCCACAGAACACTGCAGCTCACAGCAAAACCAGCAGGACTCAAAGCCGTTCACACGCACACACACTCATGCGTGCCACACACATGGCACACGCAGACACACACGCACATCCCAAAGGGAAAGATCAAAAGACAAACCACCCACTTTAGAAAAGACCAGAGCCCCTTCCCACCGTGGAGCCGAGGTGGGAGCAGGGCAAATGGCTGAGGGGCACAAGGGCAGGCAGCATAAACCAAGACCCCCCAAAAAACATTGCATCCCCAGACCCCTGCATCCCCCGCCCCCCCCAAACAAAGGAAAAATTTTGTGTGACATGGATGACCAAAGATGTGTTATTATTATTATTTTAAACTAAGAAGAGTTATCAAAGTAAGAAGACAAACCTGTATCCCTGGGTTTTCTGAATAATAACCATAATAAGATAGATGTCTACAGGGAGGAAGATTGAAGACAAAGATCAGGGTTCAGTTTACACTTCTTAACCATCTCCTAAATGTGTATGAGGGTGCAATTATGTTTCAGTCTACTCTCCAGAGTCCAGAGCAGGATTTGGGTCAGAGCCAAGATAGGAGTTGGCTCTGACTCCTGGATTTGGAGTAAGGATTTGGTGATGAAGATCAAGTATAAGGAGAGCCACAGTTCCTTACTCCAAATCCTTACTCCTGTCGTGGTTGTGACTTCAAGCCAGTACCTTTCCTTTATATCTGAGCCTCAGTTTCACTGTGTGTAAAATGGGAAAGTAACAGTTTCTAAGTCAATGGGCTATTGAGAAAATTCAAGGAGATTGTATGTAAATCCTTAGCATGGTGTCTACTTCTTAGTTGTCAATGGTCATTATTACTTCCCAGAAGGGATTCAGGCTCAATTAACACATTTCTTTCTTTACTGAACCCCTAGGAGGTCCATGCATTTTCTTATTTTTCTTTCCTGAAGAGGTCCATTTTCCACAGTGTTTTTAACCCTAATCCACAGATTTTACCCAGACTGCTGAAAGTGGGTAACAGACATGGAGGAAAAGCTGTGAATCTTTCCTGCCAGAGATGAGGGAACTGGATCCTGGCCTCTGGTGTGGAGAGACCTTCCACAGGTTGCACATTTGGGGGAGGAAGACAAGGTGAGTTCTTTCCCACTTAAAAAATTAAAATCTACAAGAGAAAAATGTGTGTGTGTGTGTGTGTGTGTTTCAGTTTTAACACTGAGCATCTCTCTACAATATGACCGCAGGTAGGTGTCACTACTTCAAGTTTTAAGTGTTTCTAGACCACCAGGCAATGGCCAGGGAAAAGGGTGGGGTGGGGCAGGGGTGGGACCCAGGGCAGGGGCACTACCAATGTCTGCTTGAGGACTGGGTACGGGCACTGGGCTAGAAAACTTGGCAGCACCTCCTTGGTCCAGGAAGGAGGTTCTTTGTCTCCCTGAGAGATGGAGGGGGAAGAAATCTGGGCTCATCTAGCCCTAAATATCCTCTCGTCTATTTGTGTGAAAGAGATTAATCACACATGCAGAACCACCAAATCTCAGCACTGGACTAGACCTGGAAGGGTTAGCAATACACTCTCCCTCCATCACCTACATATTGCTTTGATTATTCTCACTCCTAACTCTGATGGCATGGAGGGAGGTTGTCCTAAAAACATCCCTAAAATGCAGTACATCGGATTTCCACACTGTATGTGTTTATCCACCAAGACCAAAGACAGAACTTGGGCTGAAGCCCAGGGTAAAGGGAGAGCTGTTGTCAGGTTCAAAAACAGTGTGCTTCTGTGTAGCCTTCTATTCCCAAAGCTAATGACCCTACGTCCAGGCTTCTTCCTGGACTTAGGAATTCAGCCAACATTGACTAAGTCTGAATTTCTGGTGTGAAAAGCAATTCCTTCATGTGAATGCAAACATACACTCATGCACCCTCATCAAGGCCTGCTTCAATCAGCCTGGCAAACAAGAGACCAGACCAATGAGCTTTGCTACTTGTGCTTCCCTCAGCTGGGAGACGCTCCCAGAGTTCAGCCAGACGAGAATGGACTTTTCAGACACCTGGCTCCACCTGCCAAGAGGATCTTGCGTATGTAAAAAAAGGGAAGAGGAGCTTTGTACAAAGGATTATGTGTGGGGGGATGTGGTTTGGGGTTCGGGGACTTCTGGACTCTCTTGTTTCTCTGGGTTCTGTCTCCCCAGGGGAAGGCTCCAGAGGAGGCGTGGGAAAGGTGTTGTGCTTTCTTTTTTTCTGGTTCTTCAGCAGAAATTTCCTTCATCCTTCTCCCAGTCCTCCGTTGGGTGTTTCTTGTGTTTTCTGCGCTCCTTGTGGGATTTGTGGTGGTGATGCTGGTGATGGTGTTGGTGGTGGTGGTGGTGTCGCCGCATCCGATGTGAACGTCTGGCTGCAGGGAAGTGAGGGAGAACAGGGAAGGGACAAAAGGTGGTGAGAAGCAGGTGGCCTGATGCAGTGGGTCTCCTCAGGAGAGAAAGTAGAGGAAAGCGGCCAGACATGAGGGCTCATCCCTGTCATTCCAGCACTTTGGGAGGCCAAAGTGGGAGGATCTCTTGAAGCCAGGAGTTTGAGACCAGCCTGGGCAACATAGCAAGACCCTGTCTCTACAAAAATCAAAAAATTAGCCAGGCATGGTGGCACATGCCTGTAGTCCCAGCTATTTGGGAGTCTGAGTTGGGAGGATCCCTTGAGCCTGGGAGGATGAGGCTACAGTGAGCTGTGATTGAGCCTCGCACTCCAGCATGGGCAACAGAGTGAGACTCTGTTCCAAAAAAAAAAAAAAAAAAAACCAGGCCAGGTGTGATGGCTCACACCTGTAATCCCAGCACTTTGGGAGGCTGAGGCGGGCAGATCACCTGAAGTTAGGAGTTCAAGACCAGCCTCGCCAACATAGCGAAACCCTGTCTCTACTAAAAATACAAAAATTAGATGGGCATGGCAGTGAACACCTGTGATCCCAGCTACTCAGGAGGCTGAAACTCAAGGATCGCTTGAACCCGGGAGGTTTCAGTGAGCTGAGATTGTGCCACTGCACTCCAGCCTGGGCAACAGAGCAAGACTCCATCTCACACACACACACACACACACACACACACACACACACACACAAATGAAGGAAACATCAGACAGGCTGGTAAGTTCTTACTTATCTGCAAGGCTGTATTATCGGGCAGACATTAAGCCAGATCAATGTGTGGAGTAATAAGTTGTCTTAATTGGAAACTAGAAATACCAAAAACCTATGTTGAAGTCTCTGGGAGAAGCTACTTACGTTTGGTGCAGACAATTTGGGGCCTGTCCCACTTGCCATTGCTCCGGCATCGAATGGTGGCCACATGGTGCTGGGCAAATCCTTCATTGCACTGGTACCTTACAGTGGCATGGACATTGTACTTGGCCTTGCGGGTACCGATGAGTGAGGCATTCTCCACTGCTGGAGGGGGACCACAGAGCACTGGGACAGAGGAATCTCCGGTGAGAGAGGTGCTCACATCTGGGCTAAACTAGTTGTTGTTGTATGAGACAGAGTTTTGTTCTGTCACCTAGGCTGGAGTGCAGTGACACACTCTTGCCTCACTGCAACCTCCGCCTCTCTGGTTCAAGCGATTCTCCTGCCTCAGCCTTCCAAGTAGCTGGGATTATGAGCACCAGCCTGTAATCCACACCTGGCTAATTTTTGTATATATTTTTTCTTGTTTTCAGACAGGGTCTCACTCTGTCTCCCAGACTGGAGTGCAGTGGCGTGATCTCGGCTCACTGCAACTCCTGCCACCCATACTCAAGTGATTCTCCTGCCTCAACCTCCCCAGGAGCTGGGATTACAGACATGCACCACCATGCCTGGTTAACTTTTGTATTTTTTTTTTTTTTTTTTTTTGAGACAGAGTCTCGCTCTGTCTCCCGGGCTGGAGTGCAGTGGCCGGATCTCAGCTCACTGCAAGCTCCGCCTCCCAGGTTTACGCCATTCTCCTGCCTCAGCCTCCCGAGTAGCTGGGACTATAGGCGCCCACCACCTCGCCCGGCTAGTTTTTTGTATTTTTTTAGTAGAGACGGAGTTTCACCGGGTTAGCCAGGATGGTCTCGATCTCCTGACTTCGTGATCCGCCCGTCTCGGCCTCCCAAAGTGCTGGGATTACAGGCTTGAGCCACCGCGCCCGGCCAACTTTTGTGTTTTTAGTAGAGACCTCATTTCGTCATGTTGGCCAGGCTGGTCTTGAACTCCTGACCTCAGATGATCTGCCCAGCTTGGCCTCCCAAAGTGCTGGGATAACAGGCGTGAGCCACTGTGCCTGGTTCTTGTTGTTTTTAAAAGAGGGTCTTCCTCTGTCGCCCAGGCTGGAGTGCAGTGGCACAATCACAGCTCACTGCAGCCTCAACCTCCCAGGCTCAAGGGATCCTCCCAACTCAGCCTCTCAAGTAGTTGAGACTACAGGTGCACACCATCAAGCCTAGTTAATTTTTTGGTTTTTTTGTAACGATGGGGTCCCACTATGTTGCCCGGGCTGATTTTGAACCCATGGGCTCAAGCGATCCTCCCTCCTCGGCCTCCCAAAGTGCTGGGATGACAGGCATGAGCCACCATGCCTGGTGGCCGTAAACTTGTTTTGAGTTTTATTGGAAATGATACCTGCCTCAGCACGTCAACAGGTCTTTGCCCAGTTCTGATCTCACAGGGCTGGAAGTGACTGTGTCTGTCTGTCTCTTCTACCCAAATCAGCAGCTCCCTAGGGACAGCAACCTCCTGGCACACCTCACTATCTAATTCTTAGGTAGTGCACAATGGGAGTGAAGGAGACAGAAGGCAAGAATAATTATCTAAGCAAATAAAAGGCTGGGTGCGGCAGCTCACACCTGTAATGCCAGCACTTTGGGAGGCTGAGGCGGAAGGATGGCTTCAGTCCGGGAGTTTGAGACCAGCCTGGGCAACACAGCAAAACTCTGTCTCTACAAAAAAATTTAAAAATAAGGTCTGGGTGTGGTGGCTCACGCCTGTAATCCCAGCACTTTGGGAGGCCGAGGTGGGCGGATCACAAGGTCAGGAGATCGAGACCATCCTGGCTAATACGGTGAAACCCCAAAATACAAAAAATTAGCCAGGTGTGGTGGTGGGCACCTGTAGTCCCAACTGCTGGGAGGCTAAGGCAGGAGAATGGCGTGAACCTGGGAGGCAGAGCTTGCAGTGAGCCGAGATCGCACCACTGCACTCCAGCCTGGGCGTCAGAGCAAGACACCATCTCATAAATAAATAAATAAATAAATAAATAAATAAGCCAGGCATGGTGGTGTGCACCCGTAGTCCCAGCTACTGGTAAGACTGAGGTAGGAGGGTTACTTGAGCCCTGGAGTTCAAGTGATCTGCAGTGAGCCGTGATAATGCCACTGTACTCCAGCCTGGGCAACATCGCAAGACCCTGTTACAAAACTAAATACATGAATAAATGGGGAGGGGGGAGGATGTGAAAACTGACAAAGAAATGGAAGCAAACACGAACAAAAGTATAAGAGAAAGGTGGACATACAAATGTATACAAATGATTTCTTTCATATATAAAGATCTCTTAAAAATCAGCAAGATCAAGTCAGTTCATAGGGAAAGACATACATGCCAACAGCCTGTCAACATACAAACAGTTGGTTAGGCCAGGCATGGTGGCTCACATCTGTAACCCCAGAACTTTGGGAGGCTGAGGCAGGCAGACTACTTAAGGTCAGAAGTTTGAGACCAGCCTGGTCAACATGGTGAAACCCCATCTCCACTAAAAATAAAAAAAAAAATTAACCAGGTATGGTGTGTGCCCATAATCCCAGCTACTCGGGAGGCTGAGGCAGGAGAATCGCTTGAACCTGGGAGGCGGAGGTTGCAGTGAGCTGAGACTGTAACACTGCACTCCTGCTTGGATGACAGAGTGAGACTCCATCTCAAACAAACAAACAAAAAACAATTGGTTATTCTCATCCTTAAAGGCATGCAAACTAAGATAACAATGAGATACTATCTTCCTCACTTAGATGAACAAAGAACAAAAGTTTGAGAATGTGCAGAGTTGGCAAGGGTGGGAGGAAACAAGCACTCTCACACGCTGATGGAAAGTGAGAACTGGCTGGGCTGACATTTACCTACTTAAAAAGATGAAAGCCGGGTATGGTGGCTCATGCTTGTAATCCCTGCCCTTTGGGAGGCCAAGGTGGGTGGATCACCTGAGGTCAGGAGTTCGAGACCACCCTGCCCAACATGGCAAAACCCCCGTCTCTACTAATAATATAAAAATCAGCTGGGCGTGGTGGCATACGCCTGTAATACCAGCTTCTCGGGAGGCTGAGGCAGGAGAATCACTTGAACCTGGGAGGTGGAGGTTAAAGTGAGCCGAGATCACGCCACCGCACTCTAGCCTGGGCAACAAGAGTAAAACTGTCTCTAAAAACGTAAATAAATAGGCCGGGTGCGGTGGCTCAAGCCTGTAATCCCAGCACTTTGGGAGGCCGAGACGGGCGGATCACGAGGTCAGGAGATCGAGACCATCCTGGCTAACCCGGTGAAACCCCGTCTCTACTAAAAAATACAAAAAACTAGCCGGGCGAGGTGGCGGGTGCCTGTAGTCCCAGCTACTCAGGAGGCTGAGGCAGGAGAATGGCGGGAACCCGGGAGGCGGAGCTTGCAGTGAGCCGAGATCTGGCCACAACACACCAGCCTGGGGGACAGAGCGAGACTTCGTCTCAAAAAAAAAAAAAAAAAAAACGTAAATAAATAAATAAAAATAAAATAAGAATAAATTTAAAAATATATATATAATGCCACCCACCTCGGCCTCCCAAAGTGTTGGGATTATAGGCGTGAGCCACCCTGCATGGCCTATTTCCAGAACTTTTTCATCACGACACACCAAAATGCTGTATCCATTGGACACTAGTGACTCCCTCTTCTCCCGACCCCTGTCCCCTAGCAAACACTAATCTACTTCCTCTATCTAAATTTGCCTACTCTGAATGCTTCATGAAAAAAAAAAAAAAATGAATCAAGCCTGGGCACAATGGCTTATGCATATGATCTCAGCACTTTGAGAGGCTGAGGCAGGCAGATTATTTGAGCCCAGGAGTTTAAGACCAGCCTGGGCAACATGGCAAAACCCCATCTCTACGAAAAAATACAAAAATTATCTGGGCATGTTGGTGCATGCCTACAGTCCCAGCTACACGGGAGGCTGAGGCAGGAGGATCGCTTGAGCCCAGGAGGTGGAGGCTGTGATGAGCCATGATTATGCCACTGCATTCCAGCCTGGGCAACAGAGAACCAGTGAGCGAAAGTGACAGAGAGGAAAAGGAGCAGGGGGCACCGCATACCTGTGCCCTTCTTGCAGACATAGGGTAGGTTGTAGTTGCAGGGGACATCGTTCCAGCGCCCGCTTTCATGCGCCACCATCACCACACAGTCCTCGCCACCCGCAAAGAAATTGTCCGGCTGGTTCTCTCGCCAGTTCTCGAATTGCTGCAGGAATAGGGGGCAGGGAGTTGTTCAGGGGACCTCTGTTGCAGCCCAGGTTCTGGCACTTCCTGCTGTGGGACTCCCCTGGCCAGACCCCTCAAACTCACAGGGATTCAGTGTTCCCATCTCTACAATGGCCACTGTCCTGCCCATCCTGAGGGGGGCCACCACTGTCATCCAAGCCACCATTCTTGTGGCTCGGAGGCTGCATCATCCCCCTTCCTGGTCCTCCTGCCTCCCTCCTGCCTCCTGCCTCCTGCCTCAAAATGAAAATGAAAATTCATGTTCATTTTCAACATGAATCAGTGTTAGATAAATGGTGGGACAAGGCCGGGCCTGGTGGCTCATGCCTGTAATCCCAGCACTTTGGGAGGCCACGGTGGGCAGATCACCGGAGGTCGGGAGTTCGAGACCTGCCTGGTCAATATGGTGAAACACTGTCACCACTAAAAATAAAAAAAAAAAAAATTAGCCAGGTGTGGTGGTGTGCGCCTGTAATCCCAGCAGGACAATTTCTTGAACCTGAGAGGCAGAGGTTGCAGTAAGCCAAGATTGCGCTATGGCACTCCAGCCTGGGCGACAAGACCGAGACTCTATCTCAAAAAAAAAAAAAAAAAAAAGATAAATGGTGGGACAAATGGTGATCTCAGCCTGAAGTCCAGGAGGACTTCCCTAAGGAGGCAATGTGAGAGTTAAAGAATCAAAGATGGTAAGGATTCAAGGCCGGGCACAGTGGCTCACGTCTGTAATCCCAGCACTTTGAGAGGCCAAGGGGGGCAGATCACTTGAGGTCAGGAGTTCAGGACCACCTTGGACAACAAGGTGAAACCCTGTATCTAATAAAAATACAAAAATTAGTCGGGCATGATGGTGCGCGCCTGTAGTCCCAAGCTACTCAGGAGGCTGAAGCAGGAGAATCGCTTGAGCCTGGGAGGCAGAGTGAGCTGGGTTGCACCACTGAACTCCAGCCTGGGTGACAGAGTGAGACTCTGTCTCAAAAAAAAAAAAAAAAGTAGTAAGGGTTCAGACAGGGAACAGCATTCCTAGCAAAGGGAACCACCAGTGTGAAGGCTCAGAGGCAGGACTGAACTTGAACTTGTTCTGCTTGAGGAACAGACAAAGCCTAGTGAGGCTGGAGCTGTGTGATAGGGCCGGGGTATGCTCAGAGAGTGGAGAGGGACCAGATCTTGCATTAGAGGAAAGGAGGTGAATTTTTAGAAACTGTGGCAAAATATATATAGCACAAAATTCCTAATTTTAACCATTTTTGTTTTGTTTTGTTTTGAGACAGAGCCCAGGCAGGAGTGCAGTGGTGCGATCTTGCTCACTGGGACCTTCACCTCCTGGGTCCTGGTTCAAGCGATTCTCCTGCCCCAGCCTCCTGAGTAGCTGGGATTACAGGCGTGTGCCACCAGGCCCAGCTAATTTTTGTATTTTTAGTAGAGACGGGGTTTCACAATGTTGGCCAGGCTGGTCTTGAACTCCTGACCTCGCGATCCACCCACCTCGGCCTCCCAAACTGCTGAAATTACAGGCTTGAGCTACCACACCCAGCCAATTTTAACCATTTTTACGTGTGCAGTATTTTTATTTTTATTTTTTTGAGACAGAGTCTGTATTACTCAGGCTGGAGTACAGTGGTGCGACCTTGGCTCACTGCAATTTCTGCCTCCCAGGTTCAAGAGGCGGTGTGCAGTTTAATACATTAATTACATTCACAATGTTGCATAACCATCACCATTATTTCCAGAACTTTTTTTTTTGAGATGGAGTCTCTCTCTGTCGCCCAGGCTGGAGTGCAGTGGTGTGATCTTGGCTCACTGCAACCTCCAGTTTCCGGGTTCAAGCGATTCTGCTGCCCCAGCCTCTGAGTAGCTGGGATTACACATGTGCTCCACCATGCCCAGCTAATTTTTGTATTTTTAGTAGACACAGGGTTTCACCTGACCAATAGGTCAGGTGGGTCTTGAACTCCTGACCTTGTGATCCACCTACCTCGGCCTCCCAAAGTGTTGGGATTACAGGCGTGAGCCACCCCGCGCGGCCTATTTCCAGAACTTTTTCATCACGACACACCAAAATTCTGTCCCCATTGAGCACTAGTGACTTCCCCTTCTCCCGACCCCTGTCCCCTGGCAAACACTAATCTACTTCCTGTCTCTAAATTTGCCTACTCTGAATGCTTCATGAAAAAAAAAAAAAAAAAATCACACAACAGCTGGCCTTTTATGCTTGGCTCATTCCATGTTTTGTTTATTATTTTATTTTATTTTATTTTGGAGCCCAAGTCTCACTCTGTCTCAATTTTTGAATTTTTTGTAGAGATGGAGTTTCGCCATGTAGCTCAGGCTGGCCTCGAACTCCCAACTTTAGGTGATCCACTCGCCTTGGCCTCCCAAAGTGCTGGGATTGCAGGCATGAGCCACCCACCGCACCCAGCCTGTTTTGTTTTGTTTTGTTTTGTTTGAGACAGCGTCTTGCTCTGTCACCCAGGCTGGAGTGCAGTGGTGCAATCATAGCTCACTGGAGCCTCGAACTCCTGGGCTGCAGCGATCCTCCTACTTTGGCTTCCCCAAAGTGCTAGGATTATAGGTGTGAGCCACCCCACCCAGCCTCTTTTTCTTTCTTAGTATAAAATTTTTTTGTTTTGTTTTGTTTTGTTTTTTAGAGATGGAGTCTTGCTCTGTTGCCTAGGCTGGAGTGCAGTGATGTGATCTCGTCTCACTGCAACCTCTGCATTCCGGGTTCAAGTGATTCTCCTGCCTCAGACTCCCAAGTAGCTGGGATTACAGGTGCGCGCCACCATGCCCAGCTAATTTTTGTATTTTTAGTAGAGATAGGGTTTCACCACATTGGCCAGGCTGTTCTGGAACTCCTGACCTCAAGTGATCCACCTGCCTCAGCCTTCCAAAGTGCTGGGATTACAGGCGTGAGCTGCTGTGCCCGGCCTGTTTGTATAAATTTAAAGGGTACAAGCGCAATTTTATTACATGCATATGCATATAATAAAATATATATTGTCTACTGGCAAAGTCTTGGCTTTTAGTGTATCCATGACCCGAATAATGTACATTTTTGTACCAGTTTGAATCTCTGTTTTCAATTCTTCTGAGTATGTATCTAGGAGGAGCATTGCTGGGTCATATGGTAACTCTATGTTTAACTTTTTATTTTTATTTTTATATTTTTAGAGATGGGGGTCTCACTGTGTTGCCCAGGCTGAATTCCAATTCCTAGGCTTAAGTGATCATCCCGCCTCAGCTTCCCAAGTAGCTGAGACTACAGGCGCGTACCACTGTACCCAGCTTCTATGTTTAACTGTATGAGGAACAGCCAGATTTTTACATAGCGGGAGAAGGGGAATTTTTATCTTGAGAACAATGGAGAGTCTGGAAGGGCTTGAAGCAGGGAGGATGCTGACCTAATATGTTTTTAGAGACAGGGTCTTGCTCTGTCACCCAGGCTGGAGTGCAGGTCACTGCAGCCTTGAACTCCTGGACTCAAGTGATCCTCCTCAGTCTCCCAAAGTGCTTGGGATTACAAGCATGGGCCACCAGCCTGGCCTAGAAACTATATATATATATATATTTTTTTTTTTTTTTTTTTTTTTTTTTTTGAGACGGAGTCTTGCTCTGTCGCCCAGGCTGGAGTGCAGTGGCGCCATCTCGGCTCACTGCAAGCTCCGCCTCCCAGGTTTACGCCATTCTCCTGCCTCAGCCTCCCAAGCAGCTGGGACTACAGGCGCCCGCCACCACGCCTGGCTATTTTTTTGTATTTTTTAGTAGAGATGGGGTTTCACCATGTTAACCAGATAGTCTCAATCTCCTGACCTCGTGATTCGCCCACCTTGGCCTCCCAAAGTGCTGGGAGTACAGGCATGAGCCATCACGCCCGGCCTATATATATATATATATATTTGTTTTGTTTTGTTTTGTTTTGAGACAGAATCTCGTTCTATCATCACCTAGGCTGAAGTGCAGTGGCGTTATTTCGGCTCACTGCAACCTCCACCCCACAAGTTCAAGCGATTCTCGCACCTCAGCCTCCCGAGTAGCTGGGATTAGAGGCATACGCCGTCACGCCCGGCTAATTTTTATATTTTTAGTAGAGACGGGGTTTCACCATGTTGGCCAGGCTGGTCTCAAGTGATTTGCCCACCTTGGCCTCCCAAAGTGCTGGGATTACAGGCGTGAGCCTCCATGCCCAGCCTAGAAATGAGAATATTTGAGAGACTATGGCTGGGGGACCAGGCAGAGTGAGTAGAGGAGGCGTCAGACCCTAGTCTCAGGTTTGTAACCTCTGCAGCTGGGTAGGCGAGGTCTGTTTACCTGGGCTGGGGAAGTCAGGGGAGAAGGCCTTTACTTGAAGCTCCTTTGCCAACTCCAGCATCTTAGAGCCACTAGAGACCTCTGACACCCAATTGAGATAACTTTGCACAAAAGGGTAAACTGAGGCCAGATGGCAGGCCTGATGCAGCTCAGCAGCCTAGGCCTGCAGCCCCCGCCACTCACCAGCCCGGTGTTGTCCGTCCACTGGAAATCCCTCTCCACGATCCTGTCGTTCAGGCCGATCCACGTGTTTTCGTGCCCAAAGCCTGCAGGGTCGGGGGTTGTGGGTCTGGGTGTTCACCCACGCCTCTTCCAGCCCAGGGCGGAGGTGCAGGTGAGGTGGGGTAGGGTGTGGGAGGAAAGAATTCCTCACCTTCCCCAGCCTGGAGGTGGGCTGGGTGGGGGGAAAGATCTAGAAAGTGGAAATCAAGGGGGAAGAGGCGGGTACAGGGATGGAGGAGGATCCAGAGCCCCTTCCTCAGCCTCTCTATGGGCTGGGGGCCGGGTGAGGTATGTGTGGGAGGGGAATACCCAGTGCCTTCCTCAGCCTGGAGGTGGGCTGGAGGTTGAGGTGGAGAGCGAAGGAGATAGAAGTGAAGTTTACAGAGGTTAAGGAGGACACAGGTGCCCTCCCCCAGCATCTGTAAGAGCTGGAGAAGGGAAGTGGGGGGAGGGAGAAGGAGAGAGAAGAGGGGGAGGAGGGAGAGGAGAAAGGAGGAGGAGTGAAAGGGAGGAGGGGCAGGAGGGAGGAGGGGGAGGAATGAAAGGAGGAGGGGGAAGAGAAAGGAGGAGAAAGATCAGTGGAAGAGGGAGGGGGAGGAGTGAGAGGAAGGATGGGGAAGAGAAAGGAGGAGGAAGATGAGTGGAAAGAGGAGGCAGAGGAATGGGAGGGAGGAGGGAGAGAAGAGGGAGGAAGAAAGGAAGGAGAAAGGAGGAGAAAGATGAATGGAAGGAGGAGGGGAGGAGTTGGAGGGAGAAGGGAGAGGAGTGGGAGGGAGGATGGGGAGGAGAAAGGAGGAGGAGTGGAAGGGAAGAGGAAGAGCAAGAGGGAAGGGGGAGGAAAGGGAAGGAGGAGGAGTAGAAGGAGGAGGCCTGGGGAGGAGCATAAGGGAGGAGGAGACGAATGGGAGGAGGAGGAGGCAGGATGAGGAGGAGAAAGAAGGAAGAAGATGAGTGGAAGGAGGAGGGGAGGGAAGGGGGAAGAGAGGAGAGAGGAGGAGGAGGAATGGGAGGAGGAGAGGGAGAAGGGTAGGGAGGATGAAGAGGCGAAAGGAGGTGGAAGATGAGTGGAAGGAGGAGGAGGGGGAGGGAGAAGGGGAGGACTAAGAGGGAGGAGGAGAAAGGATGGGAGGAGGAGGGAGGAAGAGGAGTGGAAGGAGGAGGGGAAGAAGTGGTAGGGAAGATGGGGAGGTAGGAGGGAGAGCAAGGAGGAGGAGGGTCGGGGGGCAGGCATGAACCCCTCTCCCAGCTTCAGTGTAGGCTGCAGGTGCGTCCTCACCCCACCCTCCGAAAGCAAGGACTCTGGATACCCTCTTTTAGAGGGGTGAGGCATGGGAAGAACCGGAATTAGGCCCAGGCTATGCCAGGGTTTGTGGCCAGGAGAAGCAGGAATAAACCCAGGCACTGTCACATCTTTGCAGAAATGAGAAGTAGGGGACAGAAGACACCAGTGGGCGCTGGATGGGCAGACAGGTGAGAAGGCTCGAGCCAGTCACTCAGGAGGGAGTGGCCGGGTGGGATACGTCAAGGAAAAAGAAACAAGCGAACCAGGGAAGGAAGAAACGAAGGAGTCAACGAGGGATGGGATGGCGGCAAACAGAATAAACAGAATAAATGGATGGATGAGCAAAAGGCAGAGGGATAATGAATAAATCAATAAGTCCCAGTTTACATGAATGCAACACTTGTCTCTCTCCTAGGTCTTTGCAAGGCTCATTCCTTATTTCATCTAACACATCACAGGTACTTCCCCCATCACCCTCCATCTCCTGGCCCTGTTTTGTTATCAGCACACATAGGATCCGTTGAATTACAGTATAGACTTATTCACTTAGATATTTACTTGTTTGTCTATATCCTCCCCAAGAAACGGTCACTCCCTGAGGACAGAGCAAAGTCAGCACTGATCACTGCTATGCTGTGTCAGTGTTCCTGGAATGGTGCCTGGCACACAGCAGGTGCTCAGTAAATATTTGGTGAATGAATGAATGAATGAATGAATGAACAAGTGAATTGACAGATTTCATGCATTAAGAAGCAGTCAGGGCTTGCGTTAATCAACACAGCTTTGGAAAGGTGATGTCTTGAAAACCAGGGAAGGGATGCCCTGGCAAAAGGGCTACAAGTGCCACCCCTGCCCACCCTCCAGGCAGGTGGCCCCCTCCCCCAGAGCCCCTACTATTAATGAAGCTGTGCTCATCTGGTGAGTGGACGCTGGTCAGGTGGCCGGAGCGGCGGCGGCAGTCCCTCTCAGCATCTTCCCATGCCCTCCGGTGAGCAAAATAGCGGTAACAGTGGCCCTGGAACTTGTGCCAGCCGCGGTCACAGCCCTCGGTGTCTGGGAGATGGGATAGGAGTGTGAGGGGGGGCTGGCCTTGGCCCAAGGCCTACCAGCGTGAGCACAGCCAGCCCACCAGAGAGAGGGCCCAATCCAAGGTCACTGCGGGGCGAGATCACCCCTCTCCCCATGCCTGGCCCCTCCTCCTGAGGCTCTGCTCTCCCGACCCTTTCACCTCCCATATTGACTTCTTTTTTTTTGGACAGGGTCTCACTCTGTTGCCCAGGCTGGAGTGCAATGGCACAATCTCGGCTCACTGCTACCTCCGCCTACCACACTCAAGCAATCCTCCCACCTCAGTCTCTGGAGTAGCTGGGATTACAGGCATGTACCATCGTGCTCAACTAATTTTTGTACTTTTAATAGAGATGGGGTTTCACCATGTTGGTCAGGTTGATCTCAAACTCCTGGCCTCAAGTGATCTGCCCACCTCAGCCTCCCAAAATGTTGGGATTACAGCCATGAGCTACCACACTGGCCAAATCTTAAAGTCTTTTCTTTGTTTCTGGAAGAGATTTAAGTGGGAGATCAGTCTCTGACACCCCCTCTCATTCCAATGCTGAAGTCTGCTTCTCTGATGTCAGGGCCACATCCTTTGTATGGCTATGGGAGCTCAGACATTTCTCCATAGAAGACATACAAATGGCCAACAAGTACATGAAAAGATGCTCATTGTCAATGTCAAAACCACCATGAGATACTTCACACCCACTAGGATGGAGATATATATATATAAATATATTTGAGATGGAGTCTCATTCTGTCGCCCAGGCTGGAGTGCAATGTCTCGATCTTGGCTCACTGCAGCCTCCACCTCCCAGGTTCAAGCAATTCTCCTGCCTCAGCCTCCCAAGTAGCTGGGATTACAGGCGCGTGTCACCACGCCTGGCTAATTTTTGTAATTTTAGTAGAGACAGCGTTTCTCCATGCTGGCCAGGATGGTCTTGATCTCCTGATCTCATGATCCGCCCGCCTTGGCCTCCCAAAGTGCTGGGATTACATGTCATTTTTTTTAAAGGAAAAGTAGGCTGAGGATAGTGGCTCAGGCCTGTAATCCCAGCATTTTGGGAGGTCGAGGCTGGTGGATCACTTGAGGCCAGGAGTTCAAGACCAGCTTAGCCCCATCTCTACTAAAAATTAAAAAAAAAAAAAAAAGAAAAAAAATTGAGTCAGGTGTGGTGGTGGGTGCCGATAGTCCCAGATACTGGGGAGGTTGAGGCATGAGAATCACTTGAACCAGGAGGTGGAGGTTGTAGTGAGCCGAGATCACACCACTGCACTCCAGCCTGGGTGACAGACTGAGACTCTCTCAAAAAATAAAAAGAAAAAGAAATTTAAAAAATAAAAATTAGCCAGGCATGGTGGCACGAACCTGTAGTTCCAGCTACTGGGTAGGCTGAAGCAAGAGGACTGCTTGAGCCTGGGAGTTCAAGATGACAGTGAGCTATGACTGTACCACTGTACTTTCCAGCCTGAACACAGCATGAGAAACTGTTTCAAAAAAAAAAAAAGACCAAGCACAGTGGCCCATATTTGTAATCCCAACACTTTGGGAGGCTGAGGCAGAAAGATCACATGAACCCAGTAGTTTGAGAGCAGCCTGGGCAACATGGCAAAACCCCATCTTTAAAAAAATAAAAAATAAATAAATAAAAATTAAACCTAGAGTTACCATATGACCCAGCAATTCCACTCATCCATCAAACCATGAATAGATAAACAAAATGTGATATAGCCATACAACAGAATACTACTCAGCCATGAAAAGGAATGAAACACTGATTCATATTACAACACAGATGAACCTTGAAAACATGCCAGGTGAAAGAAGCCAGACACAAAAGACACATATTTTGAGATTCCACTCATATGAAATGTCTAGAACAGGCAAATCCACAGAGACAGAAAGCAGATTAGCGGTTGCCAGGGTCTGGGGAATGGGAATAGGGAGTGACTACCTAGTGGGCACAGAGTTTCTTTCTGGGGTGCTGAAAAAGTTCTGGAACTAGAGAGAGGTGATGGCTATACAACATTGTGACTGTACAGAATGCCACTGAAATGTACACTTTAAAATGGTTAATTTGGCTGGGCTCAGTGGCTGTAATCCCAGTAGATTGGGAGGCTGATGTGGACAGATTGCTTGAGCTCAGGAGTTCAAGACCAGTCTGGGCAACGTGGTGAAACCTTGTCTCTACAAAATATACAAAAATTAGCCAGGCATGGTGGCATGTGCCTGTAGTCCCAGCCTACTGGGGAAGCTGAGGTGGGAGGATCACTTGAGCCTGGGAGGTCAAAACTACAATGAGCCAAGATCGCATCACTGTACTCCAGCCGGGGTGTCAGGGTGAGACCCTGTCTCAAAAAATAACATAAATTTAGCTAGGTGTGGTGGCGCATGCCTGTAATCCCAGCTACTCGGGAGGCTGAGGTAGGAGATTCACTTGAACCAGGGAGGCGGAGGTCACAGTGAGCTGAGATCACGCCACTGCACTCCAGCCTGGTGACAGAGAGAGACTCTATCTCAAAAAAATAAAGTAAAATAAAATAAAATAAAATAAAATAAAATAGGGCAGGCACAGGGGCACATGCCTGTAATTCCAGCACTTTGGGAGGCCAAGGTGGTTGGATCACCTGAGGTCAAGAGTTCAAGACCAGCCTGGCCAACAAGGCAAAACTCCGTCTCTACTAAAAAATACAAAAATTAGCCAGGCATGGCAGCGGGCATCTGTAATCCCAGCTACTTGGGAGGCTGAGGCAGGGAGAATTGCTTGAATCTGGGAAGTGGGGGTTGCAGTGAGCCAAGACAGCGTCATTGCACTCCAGCCTGGGTGACAGAGTGAAATTCCATCTCAAAAAAATAATAAAATAAAATAAAATGGTTAATTCTATGTTACGCACTGTTTGTCTAAAAAAATAATTTATCTTGTGTCAGGCTCACAGCCATGGAACTGGAGGCAGGGACCTGGAGTATATGGGGAAGCCTGTGGCTGGGCACCCAACCCCACTCTTGGAACTGTTTCTGGGGTTGCAACAGAAACTCACCTTTCTCGCAAAGGCTGCCCCCATAGCTGGGGAGGCAAAGGCAGACAAAGCCGTTGACCTCATCGATACAGGTGCCTCCATTCTCACAGGGGCTGCAGAGGCAGTCATCAATGTCTGGCAGAGAGGAGAAGAGATTGAGTCAGAGGTCAGCTTCCCCTTGGCTCTGAGCCCCCTCAGGAAACTAAGCAGAAGATGGGGTCATAGTCCTACCATCCATCCTGGACCTGAGTGCAGCAGTTGCAGTCTGCACAGATGGCCCAGTGACTCTGCAGGCAAGGGGGTGGAACCTCATACAATTAACATAAATTAGCATTAATGAGAGCAGATGCCATTGGGGCAGCTGAGAGCCAGGATGTGCAGACTATTCTCCCTGACTCTAGAGAAATGAAGATTATACTCTCAAAAACAGGCTCATAGAAAGTTGAAGTTGGAGTCTCTTTTAGGCATTTGCAAAGACTTGCCCAGAGTCACAAAGCTGTTTGTGGGTAAAGCTAGATATTCATTGAGTTCTTCTTCTACCGGTCCATGTGTAGACAGTGCTTGAGGCACGTATGGCACTGGGCAAGTCACTTTCCCTCCTTGAAACTCAGCTTATTTTTTTGAAAATAGTAATAATAATGGGCTCCTACTCAAGGGTGATTGTGAGTAGGGAAGCAATAGAAGAGCTCAATAAATTATATCATTTATATTTATTGTTATAATTCTGTAATCAGTCTTGTGATTGTGAAGGTTGTGAAGTCAAGATGATGCACAGAGCTCAAGAAATTATGTCACTTATACTTGTTGTTGTAATTTCATAATTGGTAATATTTCTTGTATTCGGCTTTGAAGCTAGCACCCAACAGTTCTGGTGGCAGTGCTTATACCTCCCACCCACCCAGGAAAGGGCAGGATCCCCAAAGGGCCTTTGCAGGGAGGAGTCTCGGACATATCATTCCTTTGTTTTTCCCTTCCCACCTCTGACTGGTAGTAATGGGAGACAGCACACCAGAGATGAAAGCTCAGCTGTTTGATTCTGGATCCACTAACTGGGCTGATTTAGCTGGATGTAAGGACTGGGGTTTGGGAATGGAGCATCTGAAACCAGCTTTTTGTGATCTCTGAATTCTGAGGGCATGGCTGCTGGAGTACAACCCAAGGATCTGGAGTCAAACAAATTCAGATTCAGATCCTGAGTCTGGGGTACTCACCAATCTCACAGTTCTCTCCGGCAAAGCCCTGATCACAGCTACAGCCATACATGGTGCCATTGGCATTACATGTCCCTCCATGAAGACAAGGGTTGTTCTCACAGGGATCTGAGTGTGCTGCAGGATGGATGGGTAGTATGGGGAAGAGTCAAACCACAGATCTTTTGCCTTCCTGGAATCAAGACTCCAGGCCCCCAAACTGCTTTAATCAAACTCTCCCTATGGAGTCCTCTTTATAACTTCCCCAACCAGTGGTCACCAACTCCCTCTCATATGCCCCCTGTTACAAGGAGTTTACTCCTTCCAGAAACTGCCCCAAAGCATCTGTGGACTTCCCTGCCTGTGGCAAAGTCCTTCCTCAGCCTGAACTGGAATGGGGCTCCCAGAGACCAGGGCTGCCTGAAGGACCTTGTAGAATGTTTCTCCCAGAACACAGGCTTCTGTGTCCTCCCTGACTTAAGTGTCCTTCCCCTCCTTTGGGCACACCCTACTCATCACTGTGCTTCTCACAAATTGGGACACAGGAGTGGACATAGGTTCTAGCCTGGGCAACATAGTGAAAAAAAAAAAAAAATCCTCATCCTGCCCCAGCCAACACAGATCCTGCCAGGGCAGCATCTGACCATTCCACTGCACAGTGGAATTAAATTTTTAAAAAATTAAATTAAAAAACAAAAAAGAGGCCAGGCACCATGGCTCACGCCTGTACTCCTAGTACTTTTGGAGGCCAAGGCAGGTGGATCACCTGAGGTCAGGAGTTTGAGACCAGCCTGGCCAACATGGTGAAACCCCGTCTCTACTAAAAATACAAAAAATTAGCTGGGCGTGGTGGCAGGAGCCTGTAATCCCAGCTACTCGGGAGGCTGAGGCAGGAGAATCCTTTGAACGCCGAAGGCGGAGGTTGCAGTGAGCTGAGATCACGCCACTGCACTCCAGCCTGGGTGACAGAGTGAGACTCCATCTCAAAAAAAAAAAAAAAAAAAGAATGAAATGCTTCATTTTTTGCACAGGGGCCGTGCTAATCTTCTCTGTATTGTTCTAATTTTAGCATATGTGCTGCTGAAGCGAGCACTACTTTACTTTTTTTATTAGAACAATCGTTTCTTGTCTGTATCTCTCCCTAGAGCACTGGTGTTCCATATGGCAGCCACATATAGCCACATATTCACGCTTAAATCAATTAAAGTGAAATAAAAGTAAAAACGTCATCCCTCAGTTGTCCTAGCCACTTTTCAAGTTAGCGTCGATAGAGAACATTTCCATCCCTGGGAAAGTTCTAGACTGTTGCTCTAGGACATCAGTTTTCAGAGGACAGGGGATTTGGTTTGAACACAGGGTCCAGGACAGAGCAGGCACTCAGTAATTGCTTGCTAAAGGAATGAAGGTGGCAGCTGGCCCTCCTGAGGTAGCTGAGGCCTGTCCCTGGGGTGACCCCATGGATGGCAAAGGGGCTTGTGGATGGCAGGGCCTGTGGCTGGACGATGGCCCTGCACGTGTGTGCACACGCACAGGGCTGCCGGGCGGCGGGACGCATGAGCCCCGCCAGGTGCCCTGCGCTGCTGACACCTGCCCACGGACTGGCGGTGACTCAGTCACTCGCTGGTACTGCATTTATTTTTGGCTTCATTAGCATTTCTTCTGCAAGCGGCGGGTGGGTAGGCGCCTGGGTCTCCCCAGCACTGCCCGCCAATCTCCATCCTGCTACCGCTGGCTTCATTGTGGACCCCAGGATCCAGAAAAGTATAAGACAGACCCAGCCTCAGCCCAGGTGCAGCTCCAACCCCCGTTTACTTAGTGTTCCTGTGTGGTCGCCCTCCCACCTCTCTGACTGCCCCTTCTCTATTTCTTTGGGCATTGAACTTCTTCCCTTCTGATCGTCTTTCCAGGGTTGATCCCCACATAGCCCCTCTCTTCTCTCGCCACCACCCTAAGATTGTTACTATATATTTTTTTGAGATGGAGTCTTGCTGTGTCTCCCAGGCTGGAGTGCAGTTGCATGATCATAGCTCATTGCAGCCACAACCTCCCAGGGTCAAGCGGTTCTCCCACCTCAGCACCCCAGAGCAGCTGGGACCACAGGTATGCACCATGCTAATTTTAAAATTTGTTTTGTAGAGACGGGGTCTCACTATGTTGCCGAGGCTGGTCTCCAACTCAGAGCCCTGCTGAGGGCTCAAGTGATCCTCCCGCCTCAGCCTCCCAAAGTGCTGGAATTACAGGCATGAGCCATCACGCCCAGCCTCATGTACTTTTTTATGCCAATAAACTAAGCATTTCACAATCTAGTGACTGAGACAGAAGCCCTGTTTTCCAGCCAGGTGCGGTGGCTCTCGCCTGTAATCCCAGCACTTCGGGAGGCTGAGGCGGGCAGATCACTTGAGTCAGGAGCTCAAGACCAATCTGGTCAACATGGTGAAACCCCATCTCTACTAAAAGTACAAAAATTAGCCAGGGGGCCAGGCGTGGTTGCTCATGCCTGTAATCCCAGCACTTTGGGAGGCGGAGGTGGGCAGATCACGAGATCAGGAGATCGAGACCACGTTGAAACTCCATCTCTACTAAAAACACCAAAAAAAAAAATTAGCCGGGCATGGTGGCGGGCACCTGTAGTCCCAGCTACTCGGGAGGCTGAGGCAGGAGAATGGCATGAACCCGGGAGGCAGAGCTTGCAGTGAGCCGAGATCTCACCACTGCACTCCAGCCTGGGTGACAGAGCAAGACTCTGTCTCAAATAAATAAATAAATAAATAAATAAATAAATAAAATAACAAAAAATAAAAATACAGAAAATTAGCTGGGCGTGGTGGTGGGCACCTGTAGTCCCAGCTACTCAGGAAGCTGAGGCAGGAGAATGGCATGAACCGGGGAAGCGGAGCTTGCAGTGAGCCAAGATCGCGCCACTGCACTCCGGCCTGGGTGACACAGCGAGACTCCGTTTCAAAGAAAAAAAAAAAAGAAAGAAAGAAAAATTAGACAGGCGTGGTGATGCATGCCTACAGTCCCAGCATCCCAGCTACTCAGGAGGTTGAGCCATGAAAATCACTGGAACCTGGGAGGCGGAGGTTGCAGTGACCTGAGATCACTACTGTACTCTAGCCTGGGAGACAGAGCAGGACACTATCTCAAAAAAAAAAAAAAAAAAAAAGAAGCCCTGTGTTCAGACAACCTGGATTCAAACCCCAGGCTTGACACTCCCTTAGTTGCATGGCTGCACAAGGTACTTGACCTCTCTGTGTCTGTCTCCCTATCTGCAAAGTGAGGATCACACTGGAGCTTTTCCCATAAGGACATTAAAAGGATTAACCAAGATACTCCAGTAAAGTGCTTTGAATAAGCCAAGCACACTGGCAGTAACCCATAAATGTCAGCCTTTATGGATACAAGCGGCCCTGCCCCTGGGTCGGCCTGCCTCCCGGACATCTAAGAAAAAAAGATCTGCCAGGTGCTATGGCTCACGTCTGTAATCCCAACACTTTGGGAGGCCAAGGCGAGAGGATCGCTTGAGCCCAGGAGTTTGAGACCAGCCTGGATAACATAGGGAGACCCCATCTCTTCACACACACACACACACACACACACACACACACACACACACACAGCTGGGTGTGGTGGTTGCATGCCTGTAGTCCAAGCTACTGGGGAGGCTGATGTGGGAGGATCACGTGAGCCTGGGTGCAGTGAGCTATGGTTGCCCCACTGCACTCCAGCCTGAGCAACAGACCAAGACCCTGTCTGGAAAAAATAAAAAGAAAAAAAAACAAAATAAAATAGATCCCACCCCAACACAGCCCAGAGGTGACAGGCTGGATGATGAAACCTGCATCAGCTATTTCCATCATCATGACACTTTGCCTTCAAAAAAAGGGGCACCAACTTGGGCAACATGGCAAAACTCTGTCTCTACAAAAAATACAAAAATTAGCCAGGCCTGGTGGTGCACACCTGGTCCCAGCTACTTGGGAGCCTGAGGCAGGAAGATCACCTGAGCCTAGGGAGATCAAGGCTGCACTGAGCCATGATCCTGCCATTGCAGTCAAGCCTAGGTGACAGAGTGAGACCCTTTCAAAAAAAAAAAAGGCAGGGGCAGGGGGTTGCGGTAGTTAAACGCCAATGGTGTTAATAAAAGTGCGCAACTCGACCGGGTGCCATGGCTCACGCCTGTAATCCCAGCGCTTTGGGAGGCCGAGGTGGGTGGATCACCTGAGGTCAGGAGTTTGAGACCAGCCTGGCCAACATGGTGAAACCCCCTGTCTCTATTAAAAATACAAAAATTAGCCAGGCATGGTGGTGGGAGCCTGTAATACCATCTAATCAGAAGGCTGAGGCAGGAGAATCACTTGAACCTGGGAGATGGAGGTTGCAGTGCGCCGAGATCATACCACTGCACTCCAGGCTGGATGACAGAGTGAGACACAGTCTGAAAAAACAAACAACAACAAAAAAGTGTGCAACTCAGAAAAAAAGACTTATTAATTAGCTGCTTGTTTCATTTTGTTAGTTTGATTTGAGGCAGGGTCTCGTGGTGGAGCTATCATAGCTCACTGCAGCTTGGCTAATTTCTTTTTATTTTTAGTAGAGATGGTGTCTTGCTGTGTTGCCCAGCCTGGTCTTAAACTCTTGAGCTCAAGTGATTCTCCCACTTCAGCCTCCCAAAGGGCTAGGATGACAGGCATGAGCCATTGCATGCAGCCACTTTTTCATTTGCTTGTTTTTAAATTTCATGTGGCCAAAAAACTCAGCTTCATTTGGCAGGACCTAAGAAGGGCTGGAATTTGCAGACTGAGCTGAGGCCGACCTGGCCCCAGGGAGAACAGGGCAGCTGATTTCTCTGGACGCTGCTGGCCACAGAGTAGTTAAGACTCAGGCTGACTTGGGCTCCAGTTGAGGTTTGACCAATGATTAGCCAAGTGGAGTTGTACCTCCCTGAGCCTCGGTTTGCTATCTGTAGAATGGGGGTGATCCTCGCCCCTTGTGTGCCTTCCCAGCACCCACTTTCCCTGTGGCTTGAGGCCCCCATGAGTCAAATCACTGAATTCCAGCTCCCATTCACATTTGTCCAGGAAACCGTCCCTGCCACGCCTCCTCCCTCTGGCCTCGCCTGGGAGGTGTCTGTGTCCTGCTCTGTCTTCCCCAGACTCGGGGAATCCTGGAAAGCCAGCCCCTGGGCGTCACACCACTCTCCAGCACAAAGCAGATGTAGACATGGCTTGTAACTGAACTCATTCCTTAAATCACACTCTACTCAATGCCTCGCCACTCCCACATTTTGTTTTTGTTTTTGTTCTGTTTGAGATGGAGTCTCACTCTGTCACCCAGGCTGGAGTGCAGTGGTGCGATCTGGGCTCACTGCAACCTCCGCCTCCCGGGTTCAAGCGATTCTCATGCCTCAGCTTCCCCAGTAGCTGGGATTACAGGTGTGTACCACCACACCCGGCTAATTTTTATATTTTTAGTAGAGACAGAGTTTCACCATGTTGGCCAGGCTGGTCCTGAACTCCTGACCTCAAGTGATCTGCCCATCTCGGCTTCTCAAAGTGCTGGGATTACAGGTGTGAGGCACCGCACCTGGCCACTCACCACTCTCAAATTTTGTTCCTTGGGATGTATGCTCTGTGTCCAAAATTGTTCAAGTGCTACTTCATCTCCTGGCCTTTGCCAGTACTCGTTCCTCTGCCAGGAATGTCATTTCTGAAATTCAACTCCTCCCAATAAGCTCCTACCGCCAGCGTCATGCCCCACTAGAAAGCTTCCAGATCCTCAGGGACAACCATTTCTCTCTGCTCTGGGCTCCCCCAGCCCCTGCCCCCCAAGCCCTGACCATGGATAGCTGGACAGAGTCCTGGAACTTTGTACTCACCCTCCTCCGCACCCTCATTCGTAGGGGTCCCTGACAGAGCTGGCTCCTCTCCACTTGCCACCTCCTCCCAGAAGCTCTCTACGCCGGGACTCCCTGCCAGGACCTCCAGTTTGAAGTCCTCTATCCCCAGGGTGACAGGCAGCAGGGTGCTGGAGGGGTCCCATGGTACCGTAGGCTCCCCTGAGGAAACTAAGGCAGACTCGCCCACACTGGCTGCAGTCGGTGTCCCAGGAGGAACAGCCGGTTTCCCCAGGGGGCTGCTCTGATGAGGAGGCGCTGAAGTTCCTGATGTTCCCTGGGTCTCCACCTGATCCTCTGGCTCTGAGTGGGGTTGGGAGCTTGAGGAGGCCAGTGTAGACACGGCTGGAACTCCAACCCTGTCCCCCTGCTCGGTCGTGAGGGACGTCACAATGCTTGTGTCCAGGGCCACCTGAGGGCTCAAGGTGGTGCTTTCAGCTTCTTCAAACAACTGGGATCCACGTTCCCAAATTCCACTAGCATCACTGGGGGCTGGCGTGACTGTGGAATCCTTGGGATTCACAGTGGGTCCTTCATCTGTAGCAACCCAAGGCTCCAAACTCGGGGTGATTTTGGGTACCAAGAAGACTCCAGGGCTTCCCGAGGGGGCAGATGGGGAGCTTGCACCCGGCCCTTTGCTGTACACTGAGGGCCAGGGGTCCTGTACCTCATCTACAGTGGCCTGCAAGCCAGAAGTAGGGCTTTCTGCTGTGTCGAAGACCCCAGACTCAGACCCCGAGATGCCCCTGAGGCCCGTTAGCTCCGTGGCAGTCTCAGTGGGGTCAAAACCTACAGCCACATTCCTGTTTACAGAAGGCCATGGGCTGGAGCTGGGGTGCTCAGCTTTGTGGACCTGAGCAAGGCTGGTCTCCCCAATTTCTCTGAAGTCTGCCCTGGGGGACTGAGGTGTTGTGGGCGTGGCCTCTCCACCCTGTCCTGTCGGGGTCGAAAAGGGAGGCGGGGAATACACCTTGGTCTCTGCAGCAGGGGAAGGTGGAGCCGTGGCCATGGCCTCACCATGTCCCTCAACTCTACTGGCCTCAGTGGAGACGGAGGTGGGGTGTGGTAGCATCCACTGTTTGGGACCACGCAGCATGGCCATCATAGGGAGATCTGGGGAGGTGGCCAAGGGGGATGCCTCCCAGGGGGCAGGGCTAGGAGCTGAGACAGTGGCCTCCAACGGGGACCAAAACAGGTCTGGGGTGGCTGGCCTGGCACTGGGGCCCTCGGCTTTTTCTAACTCCGGGACAGGGGCCCTGCTGTGGCCTGAGATGCTGGGCGGGACCATGGTCGGGGGCCACAGCCAGGGCTCTGGGGAGCTCTTGCCACCAGCAGAACCTGCAACAACATCAAGGCAGTCATTACAATGATCTCTCAGCAGCCCCTTTGGTGGGACTCCAGGCCCAATGGAGAGGGGGCTTCTGGGGCCAGAGTACCCAGCTGTGATTCAGAGCTTCCTCCCTCATCCTGAGTGTAGCCATGGCTACTTCTCCACCCTCACCTCCGGACCCCCAGGTAGGTCCCGCCTCCCCCAGAGCAACTCACCAGCTCCAGGCATATCCACCTCATTGGTCAGATCAGCCCAGGGGCTCCGGCTGTGGCCACCGCCCAACATCTCTGTGACTGCCATGGCCAGCGGAGGCTCCACTTGGTTCCCCACAGCCTCTGAGGTTGGGGGCTGGGCGCTGGCCTCCATCCCCTCTTGCAGCCCCGGCTCCGGTTCCTGCTGCTGGAAGTAGCGCCCATTCAACCCTTTGAAGCGCCCCCTCCTCCTAGCCGTAGGGTCAGTTGGGGCCACCTCTGTGTGTGAACTTGCTGTAGTGCCTGCCCCCGTGTCACTAGGGCTGGGGGCCACCGTGCTTAGCCACACTTCCCCAGTGGGCCATGAGGCCAGCATGGGGTCCCTAGGGGTAGGGCTGAGTGTCTGTTGAGATTCCTGCTTCTCCGCCAAGATCAGGGGTTCTTCTTCCCCACTGGACACCAGAGGCTCCTGGAAGTCAGGGGTGACCACCTCTTCCTCCTCCAGGGTGGGCTCCAGTTCTCTAACTGGGGGCCCCTCTGCTGACAGAATCTCCCCCTCATCCCCAGAGGATGGAGTCTCTAGGTCTCCATGTTGTGATGTGGGGTGATGAGCTGTGGGAGAAAGCAGAAGAGGTTGTGTTAGGCCCAGGGGTGGCCTGGGAAGTTCTGCTTGAAGTCTGCCCACTTTCCAGCATGCTGCAGCACAAGCCTCCTATGCACCTCTGTCTCTCCTAAGTGGTTTCTGAGATTTCCCCGCCTGAGAGAGGGAAGTGCAAAGTTTTCACCTCCACTCTTGAAGCTGGGGACCACCTGAGCCACTGTCAGGGTCAGAGTCCACTGGCTGCAGTGAGGGCTATAAGAATTTGGGCCAGGCGCGGTGGCTCACGTCCGTAATCCCAGCACTTTGGGAGGCCGAGGCGGGTGGATAACTTGAGGTCAGGAGTTCAAGACCAGCCCGGCCAACATGGTGAAACCCCGTCTCTACTAAAAATACAAAAATTAGTTTGGCGTGGTGGTGCATTCCTGTCCCAGCTACTCGGGAGGCGGAGGCAGGAGAATCGCTTGAACACGGGAGGCGGAGGTTGCAGTGAGCCGAGATCACACCACTGCACTCCAGCCTGGGTGACAGAGTGAGCCTCCATCTCAAAAGGAAAAAAAAAAAAAAAAAAAAACAACAATTTGGCTCATGGGCAAAGCTCAGGCAGCGTCCAACTCTCATGAACTTGGGTCGGCCTGTTGAGGGGTTCAACTCAACTTTGGTGACGGATCCTCTCCTGGTACAGGTGGCGCCCAGTGGGCATGGTATGCCCATGCCAGGATTGGGGCAGCTTACTTACAGGACTTGACTCCTTTGGGGTGATGCTTGCAGCTTCCAAAGCTGTCCCCACTGTCTCCCAACAAGGGGCAAGTGTTATTCCTGCTCCCACCCCCGGTGTGGAGCCCAGAGGTGGCCAATTGAGGCATAATCTCTTCCACGGGGGTGTGTATGTGTATGGGCGTGTCTCTAGGTAGAATATGCCCCCACCCAAGGGCTTGTCTTTCACGGTTATGGGGCCTCCGGACCTCTGGAGATACAGCCCACCCAGCAAAGATGATTCCCCACCAGAGTGGCCTCCTCTGGGGGCCTGTTCTTTCCCTAGGACCGGGCTCCTAGGGAAAGATTTGTCGTAAGGGGTGTGGCCTTCGCCCGGGGGCGTGGCCCTCACCCAGAGACGTGGCCCTCACCCAGGGACGTGGCTTATCACAAAGCGAGCTTCCATGTGTCTCTCCCTTGGCTTGGCGAGGCTTTCAGGGGCGTGGCCTTCGCCAAAGTGAAAGCCCTGGGGGCGCGGCCACCAGGGGACGCACGCACCTCGGAAGCAGTAGGCGTCGAAGCGCGCGGCGGGCGAAGGAAAGCCAGTCCGGTTAGCGAAGCGGTAAACAGTGCGCACGCCCGGGGCTGGGCCCCCGCAGCGCCGGCGCGGCGTCTGGATCGGGTAGCGCACGCTGCCGTCGGCCAGCCAGCCCGGGTCGCACTGGTCCAGGCCCTCATGCCAGGCCAGGTGCAGCTGTCCCACCGAGGCCAGCGCGGCACCCTGGCGGCGGCACTGTGCACGCGCGCCAGCCAGTGTCAGGCGGCGGGCCGGGCCCACGTAGAAGACCTCTCCTGCGGGAAGGGCGGGTGGAGGTCAGGGGGCCTGGGGAACCCTCCCCTGGAGCCCAGGAAGTGGGTCCAACTCCAAATAGTCCCGACCTGGACGTTAGGGTGGTGTTTAAAAGAGACGGTGACAACCGCAGCTCTGCGTCCAGCTCCGGGACCATCGTTGTCCTTACCTCTCATGCAGAGCTAAGTCTCTTTTTACAAATGGAGTAACTCAGCCACATGGGCAAGTCGGGCTTCGAGAGAGGGAGGGGCTCGGTGAAGGGGGCTCACAGAGGAGGAAGCGGGTAGGGACAGGGAGGCAGGCAGGGGACAGGAGATCAGAGAGGAAAAGAGGATCAGAGAGAGGAAGGGGGCAAAGGGAGGGAGGGGGACTCAGGGAAGCATGGAAAGCTCAGAAAATGGGTGGGATCACGTCTTGTTTGCAGGTTTAGAGAGGTATAAGACAGGAGACTCGCATGAGGACCCAAGAGGATGGGAAGTGGGGAGAATGATAGAGGCTCAAAGAGAGGCGGAGGGGCCGGGTCCTGCCAGTCCCAGACTTACCCCCCAGCTCCCGGGCAAAGCAATACACATCGTAGAGTTCCTGTGGGTTGCGCCTCCCATAGCTCCGAACCCCTGGAAGGCTGCTACGGTCACCATAGCAACCAGGACGGGACTGGGTGATAGGATACCTGACAACACAAGGGGAGGGTCCCTCTCAGATGTGTACTCCTGGAGCCCCCAAGGAACCTCCTTCCCTATGGGCTAGTCTTCATCTCCCTGCCCTGTGTATCCCCCTCACCGAACAGTGCGGTCAGAGAGCCAGCCAGCATCACAGTTGTCAAAGCCATCCTCGAAGGCAGCCTGTAGATGCCGAGGGGCTGCAATGATGGCTGAGCTGAGATGGCAGGCCTCCTGGGCCTCAGCGAAAGTCAGTGCATAGCGGTCCTGGGCTGCCCGGTAGTGGAACACAACACCTGTGGTGGAACATCCAGGATAGGGGGACGGTGGACTTATGCTGGAATCTTCAAGAACAGACCTACCTCTTGCAGAATGACTCCCCACCCCTGTCTGATAATAATAGACCTACACACAGTGTGGGTCGAGGGTGGGGAGCAAGATCCATATGCCCCCATTTTACAGATGAGGAAACTGATAACAATGGCCATAAAAAGTTACAAGTTAGCAAATATTTACAATGTGAAAAGCATTTACAGCCGGGTGTGGTGGCTCACTTCTGTAATCCCAGCACTTTGGGAGGCCAAGGTGGTCGGATCACTTCAGGTCAGGAGTTCGAGACTAGCCTGGCTAACATGGTGAAACCCTGTCTCTACTGAAAAAATAGCTGGGCGTGGTGGCACACGCCTGTAATCCCAGCTACTCAGGAGGCTGAGGCAGGAGAATCGCTTGAACCCAGGAGGCGGACGTTGGAGCGAGCCGGGATTGAGCCACTGCACTCCAGCCTGGGAGACAGAACAAGACTTCGTCTCAAATAAATAAATAAATAAAACATTTTTTTAAAAAAAGCATTTGTAAGCATTATCTTATTGAACTCTTACAACAAATCTGATTGCTTCCAGAGGAGGAAACTAAGGGTCAGAAAAGTTGAGGGACAGGTCCAGGACCATGCAGCAAATAAGAAGCAGAACCAGAATTCAAATTCAGAGAGATCTGACTTCAAAGATAGCACTCTTCATGCCCAGGGTTAGGCCCTGGAGGTGGCAGGAGGTGTGGAGAAGGCTGACAGAGAGATTCTGCCTTTTAGGAATTAAGTGCATGTGCTGATAGGGAAGTGTAGGCAGCAATGGAAGATCAAATGTGGTTCTTGCCTGGCCTGGAAATGTGGTCCTGGAAAGCTTCTTGGAGGAGGTGACATGTAAGCCAGGATATGAAGCACCAGTAACAGGCTCACTGTGATTCAAATTCTGATTTAGGGATGAAAGAAATGGCAGAACAAGACAAAGAAATGAAACACCTTGTTCTGTCTTATCCTACTGAGAGCCTTTGTGTCCTCAGCATTGGACCAGTACAGAATAGGTGCTCAATAAATGTTTGGCTGAATGTCCGGGCACAGCAGCTCATGCCTGTAATCCCAGCACTTTGGAAGACCGAGGCTGGCAGATCACTTGAGGCTAGGAGTTGGAGACCAGCCTGGCCAACATGGTGAAACCCTGTCTCTACTAAAAATACAAAAATTAGCCAGGTGTGGTTGTGTGCACCTGTAATCCCAGCTACTCCAGAGGCTGAAGCAGGAGAATCACTTGAACCCACGAGGCAGAGGTTGTAGTGAGCCAAGATCATATCACTGAACTCCAGCCTGGGTGAAAGAGTGAGAATCTGTCTCAAACAACAACAAACAGAGTTTGGCTGAATGAATGAAATTGAAGTCACCTAGATGTGGAATTCACTTGCCTCACCCCAATCAGTTTGTTGTTGTTGTTGTTGTTAGCTTTTATCAATTTTCAGAAATAAGACCTTTGAAAGGGGATGATTTGTTGACCCCATAAACTATATGGTGAGACACTGTGTCCCCAGTTCACAGTTTGGGGGTATGCAGGTTAAGACCCAAGACAGGAATCAGTGACTTGCCCAAGGTCAATGTAAGTTAAGGGAAACAGATTTCCCAGCAGGAGTCCACAGGATGTTTGCTGTGCAACAATCCATTCACTGAGTCATTTATTGAGCATCTACTGTGTGCCAAACCCTGCTCTTTATTTTTAGTTTTTGACTATTTATTTATTTATTTGAGTCAGGGTCTCCCTCTGTCACCCAGGCTGAATGAAGTGCAGTGGTGTGATCTTGCTCACTGCAGCCTCCAACCTTCCAGGCTCAAGCGATCCTCCCACCCCAGCCTCCTGATGACCTGGGACTACAGGTGCACACTAGCATGCCCTGCTAATTTTTTTTTTTTTTTTGAGATGGAGTCTCGCTCTGTCGCCCAGGCTGGAGTGCAGTGGCGCAATCTTGGCGCACTGCAAAGTCCATCTCCCAGGTTCACGCCATTCTCCTGCCTCAGCTCCCTGAGTAGCTGGAACTACAGGCGCCCGCCACCACGCCGGGCTAATTTTTTTGTATTTTTTAGTAGAGATGGGGTTTCACTGTGTTAGCCAGGATGGTCTTGATCTCCTGACTTCGTGATCCACCCGCCTCGGCCTCCCAAAGTGCTGGGATTATAGGCGTGATCCAGCCATGCCCTGCTAATTAAAAAAAATTTTTTTCGTAGAGATGGGGTCTCACCATCTTGCTCAGGCTGGTCTTGAACTCCTGGGCTCAAGCAATCCTCCTGCCTTAGTCTTTCAAAATGCTGAGATTAGAGGTATGAGCCACCACATCTGGCTTATTTAGTTGTATTATTATTACTATTATTTTTAAGATGGAGTTTCACTCTTGTTGCCCAGACTGGAGTGCAACGGCACGATCTCGGCTCACTGCAACCTCCACCTCCTGGGTTCAAGCGATTCTCCCGCCTCACCTCCCGAGTAGCTGGGGTTACAGGCATGTGCCACCATGCCTGGCTAATTTTTGTATTTTTAGTAGAGAAGGAGTTTCACCATCTTGGCCAGGCTGGTCTTGAACTCCTGACTTCATGATCCACCCGCCTCGACTTCCCAAAATGCTGGGATTACAGGCTTGAGCCACTGCGCCCGGCCATATTATTATTATTTTTGAGACAGGGTCTTGCTCTGTTTCCCAGACTGGAGTGCAGTGGCATGATCAGGGCTCGCTGCAGCCTTGATCTCTTGGGACTCAAGCAATCCTCCCACCTCAGCCTCCTGAGTAGCTAAGACTACAGGCACATACCACCATGCCTGGCTAATGTTTTGGAATTTGGAATTTTGTAGAGACAAGGTCTCACTATGTTGCCCAGGCTGGTCTCGAACTCCTGAGCTTAAGTGATCCTCCTGCCTTGGTCTCCCAAAGTGCTGGGATTACAGGCATGAGCCACTGGGCCCCCATCCCTGTTTTTTTGTTTTGTTTTGTTTTTAATAGAGACAGGGTCTTGCTATGTTGCCCAGGCTGGTCTTGAGTTCCTGGGCTCAAGCGACCCTTCCTCCTCAGCCTCCCAAAGTGCTGAAATTACAGGTGTGCACTACTACACGCAGCTCAACAAGAATTTAATAAAGGAATTGGTTAAATAGGTATTTGAGAACTGTTCTTGCTTAATATTTAATATACATTTTTAATTAATTTACTTTTAAAAAATTGCCTCACTTAGAAAAAAACTTAAGTTTATTTTACAAGAAATTTTTTATTTCTATTTTAAATAGAAAGCCAGTATCCTTTGTCTTACATAAAATCAGATAACCATAAAATTGACTCCAAGCAAAATCCTGCCTAGACGGAGGATGCAGTGAGCTTAGATAGCACCACTGCACTCCAGCCTGGGCAACAAGAGCAAGACTCCATCTCAAAACGAAACCAAAAAAATCCTGCCTAGATACTGTGGCCCCCAGAAGTCTGAGCTGGAGACTTCTCCCTCATAGCTAAAAAAGAGAGGTGTTAAAGACAAGATAGTACCCATACCCACAAAGACTTCTTTTTTTTTTTTCTTTTGAGGCAGTCTCACTGTGTTGCCCAGGCTGGAGTGCCGTGGCTCGATCTCAGCTCACTGCAACCTCCGCCTCCTGGGTTCAAGCAGTTCTCCTGCCTCAGCCTCCCAAGTAGCTGGGATCACAGGCATGCATCACCATGCCTGGCTAATTTTTTTTTTTTTTTTTTAAAGATGGGGTTTCACCATGTTGGCCAGGCAGGTCTCAAACTCATGACCTCAACTGATCCATGCGCCTCGGCCTCCCAAAGTGCTGGGATTACAGGCGCCATAGAGACTTTATGACTTTATCAGAAGAATTGAAGGGGAATCCCTGTTCAGAGGGTGATTTCTTTCTTTCTTTTTTTTTTTTTTTTTGAGACAGAGTCTCCCTCTGTCCTCCAGGCTAGAGTGGAGTAGCCTCAACCTCCCGGGCTCAAACGATCCTCCCACCTCAGCCTCCCGAGTAGCTGGACTACAGGCATGTGCCACCAATGCCCAGCTAATTTTTGTATTTTCTGTGGAGACAAGGTTTCACCATGTTACCCAGGCTGGTCTCAAACTCCTGTGTCAAGTGATCCACTCACCTTGGCCTCCCAAAGTGCTGGGATTACAGGTGTAAGACACCACGCCAGGTCTCAGGGAGCGATTTCTAAGGTGACATTCGGTGGGTAGGCACCAGGTTCATCCCTCCCTCTCCCAGCTCCCCAGCCCCTCCTTTGCCCCCAGCTGACCTGTCACCTCCAAGGGCACCAGGTCTTGCTCATCCTCGATGCCCCTCACCACCTGGCAGCGGTAGAGCCCAGAATCGCTGGCCCTCAGCGGCCCCAGGAGTAGCGTGGCGTTGACTCGGCGCCGGGGGTAGGCAGGTAGCGACACTCGTCCCTGCCAGCTTTTGGCCACCCTCACGACGTTGTCCTTGGCCACCAGGATGGGCAAATCCTGTCGCTGGCCCGATGCAGTCCGCACCTTGGTCCACTTTATCCGAGGGGCATCTCGGGCTGCGCTTGGCCGTGGCTGCAGGGTAAAGAGACAGGGCAGGGCCACCAGCTCCGCCAGCGCAGCCCGCACGGACCCAGTACCCAGCTTCTGCATGTGGAGCCCCCTTTCGCTGGCATCGGTGATATCCTGTGTGCCTGGGTTGGAGAAGGTGGAGAGAGGGCGTGACTCAGAGGCAAGAACCAAGCAGGAACTGCTATTTCCCTCTTTTAAAAATTTTTTTAAAAAGGGCTGAGCCAGAATTCAAACCTAGGGCCACTTGACCTCAGAATCCAAGCAGTGACTGGATGCGATGGCTCATGCCTATAATCCCAGCACTTTGGGAGACCAAGGCGGGCAGATCACCTGAGGTTTGGAGTTTGAAACCAGCCTGACCAACATGGAGAAAACCCTGTCTTTACTAAAAATACAAAATTAGCTGGGTGTGGTGGCACATGCCTGTAATCCCAGCTACTCGGGAGGCTGAAGCAGGAGAATTGCTTGAACCTGGGAGGCGGAGGTTGCAGTGAGCCAAAATCGTGCCATTGCACTCCAGCCTGGGCAACAAGAGCAAAACTCCATCTCAAAAAGAAAAAAAATTATTTTTAGAGATGGAGTCTCTATCGCCCAGGCTGGAATGCAGTGACATGATCACGATTCATTGCAGCTTCAAGCTCCTAGGCTCAAGCAGTCCTCCCATCTCAGCCTCCCAAAAGTGCTGGGATTATAGGTATAAGCCACTGTGCCCAGCCCCTTATTATTATTATTATTATTTTATTTATTTATACTTTTGAGATGGAGTCTCGCTCTGTCTCCCAGGCTGGAGTGCAGTGGCATGATCTCAGCTCACTGCAACCTCTGCCTCCTGAGTTCAATCAACACCTCAGCCTCCCAAGTAGGTGGGATTACAGGTGTGTGCCACAATGCCTGGCTAATTTTTGCATTTTTAGTAGACGAGTTTCACCACGTTGGCCAGGCTGGTCTCCAATTCCTGACTTCAACTGATCCGCCTACCTTGGCCTCCCACAGTTCTGAGATTATAGGTGTGAGCCACCACACCTAGCCTTATTATTATTTTTTTGAGTCTGACTCTGTCACCCAGTCTGGAGTGCAGTGGCATGAGCTCGGCTCACTGCAACCTTCGCCTCCCAGGTTCAAGCGATTCTCATGCCTCAGCCTCCCGAGTAGATGGGATTACAGGCATGTGCCACCACACCTGGCTGATTTTTGTATTTTCTGTAGAGATGGAATTTCACTATGTTGGGCAGGCTAGCCTGGAACTCCTGACCTCAAGTGATCTGCCTGCCTCTGCCTCCCAAAGTGCTAGAATTATAGGCATAAACTACTGTGCCTCGCCCCTCGCTTTATTTTTATAAGGACAAGGATTTTACTCCAGTGCCACTGACTCACTGTATGGCCCCGGGAGAGGCATTTTCCTTCCCTGAGTCCCAGTTTTTCCGAAAGGTAAAGCGAGAGACAGCTAATGAAAAGGAAATGGTGTTTGCGGAGTACTGTCTTTGTAACAGGCACTTTATAGCAATCAGCTCATTTGATTTTCATAACCATCTGCAGAGTAGCAATGTCTCATTCTCTTTGGGGAAAGTTGAGGAAACTGAAGTTCAGAGAGATCATTATGCTTGCCTAAGGTCACAGACCAAATATGTGAGGGATTTCTAAAATCTGGGCTCTTGACCACCAGCAGAGGCACCCAGACCTTTATTACCATCGCTCCACCCTTGGCAGACATCACGAATCAATCTCTGCACTATTCTCATTTCTTTCTTTCTTTCTCTCTCTCCAGTTCATCTGAGCAAAACGATGAGAGGCGGGAATCTCCAGCTTCTGCTGACAATGACTAAAAATAACCTCTTAGGTATCTTGTTCGCTTTTGACTGTTCAAAGACCTTTTAAAATCTATTCTCATCTTATTCTCTATCCCATGCCAGGAGACCAGCAGGAGAAGGCTCTGGAACTCAAAAGCTGCCCCATATTGTCCATCCCCCAGACCCCAATCTCTCCCTCCCCACAAACCAACTCACCCTGTTCCCCAGCCACAAAGAGCAGCATCTGCGGCATCAAAAGGCCCAAGGCCCAGACAAACGTGGCCCCCATCCTGGATCTGGAACAAAATGGAAAGGGAGGGAGGAGTGAGCCATAACCCAACCCTCCCGGATATTCAGCATGGCAGGACCAAACTCCCTCACTCTACAGATCAGGAAACCAGGGCTCAGAGAGACCAGTGTGTTATTCTAGGTCACAGAAGGAGCCGGCAAAGGGCTGAGCCAGAATTCGAACCCAGGGCCACTTGACCTCAGATGCGGTGGCTCACACCTATAGTCCCAGCACTTTGGGAGGTTGAGGCAGGAGGATTGCTTGAGGCCAGGAGCTTGAGACCAGCCTAGGCAACATAGTGAGATCTCATCTCTATTAAAAAATTAGCTGGGTCTGGTGGTGCACGCTTTTGGTCCCAGCTACTCAGGAGGCTGAGGTGGGAGGATTGCTTGAGCCCAGGAGTTCAGGGCTGCAGTGAGCTATGATCGCACCACCACACTCCAGCCTGGGTGACAGCACAAGACTGTCTGAAAATAAAACAAAACAACAAAGAACAATGTAAGCAATGAAGTCTGTGGTCAGAAGCCTGGGTGCTGTCGTGAATCAAATCTGGAATTGACTCACTGTTCCTTGTGTGTGATCTTGGACAAGTTGCTTACCTTCTCTGTGCCTTACTTTCTCTGTGGATCAGATGGGGATAACATCAGGTGGTTGAAAGGAACGGATGAGTCAATATATATAAAATGCTTAGAACTACCTCATGCAGTAAGGGGTACATTTTAGCTGCTGCTATTATTATTACTGACCTTAACACAGCCAAGACTGAAATACCATTTTTCAAGTCAGCCTCCTCCATCAGACTAGTGGCTCCTAGAGGGCAGCAGTCCGTCCCAGTCCTCCCAGCATCCCCAGTCCAGGCAGCAGGCTGGCCTCTAAGCCATCCTTTAATCTGGGTTTGCTGGCTGACACGATTCACAGCTTCAATTCCAGGATTTGGTTGTCACCAAGATTCTATTCTTGGTTTCTGGGATTTTGGAGGAGCCGCCAACTCCTAGCTGGAGGAAGGGGCTCACCCCTGCCCACCCATCCTCCTCCTGACTTTACACAGCCCAACAAAAATGCTTCTTAGGCCCACAGAGAAACTTCAATTGTGGGTCCAGTTCCCTATAGGGGCTAGGACCCCTAGGGATAAAGTGGACAATTATTAAGTGCCTACTGTGAGCAAAGCCAGTCGTTGGGACACAGCAGTACATTTCCTGACTTCACATTCTTCCAGAGACTAGGAATCCTGGGGAGGTGGTCCCTCCCCGAAACCTCCCACCCCTGCCAATCCCCCTCACCAGGGCTCAGGATGTGGGCGCAGATGGAAAATTAGAACATCATTTGCAAACCCAACCCTTGCTCCCCGCCCCTATAAGAAATTATCCTTGAGGAAGGGGTGTGAACAGAGTCCAGAAGGGGAGGTTGTAGGGGACAGCTGTCCCCTTCCCCAGTTCTTCCCAGTTGCCAGAGTCTCGGCCGGGAGGCCGGCCTGGGACCTGTCCGTGGTGCTGAACTCTGAGGCGGCAACGCGGCGGCAAAGCCCACCTGGTCCACCCCTGCCTCCCGCCTGCCAACAGGATGCCTCGGGGACCAGAGATGGCTAGAGGTTTGCCTCAGGCTGCACAGCAGGGTAGAGGTCAAGGCCAGACCCTGGACCGGTGCTCCCAACTACCAACTTGTAAACCTCAGTAACCTCTGCCTTCATCTCAGGCTGTTCTCATTTCTTCCCCTTGGAACTCCAAGCAAGTGTGCGGTCCCCTCACGGCTGTTCTAGGCCTGGCCAGGTATTAGAGAGAGACAGGACTCCAGGTTGCACCTGCCCCCAGCAGGGCCTTAGGAATGGACAAGGCCAGAGAATTCTCTCTTTCTCTCTGTCTCTCTCTGTCACACACATACACGCACACGTGCGCACACACACACACACACCCCATTAAGAAGTCAGACTACATCCAGATAGCCCTGCTTCTAATCCAGGACTAGCTGCTTCCATCTCTCTGTGCCTCAGTTTCCCCACCTGTAAAATGGAGATTATCCAGCAAGTACCGCCTACAGCCACTGTGAGGACGAAATGACCTAAGACTTGCAAAGTCCTAGAAATGTTAAATTTAAAAACAGCTCTTTAGACACAAAGCCTCATGTATACACTAAAAATATACTGAGGTTGCCCAACATGGTGACAGACACAGTTTCAGGTGCACACTCCCCACACACACCCTCCCACTCCCTTCCACTCGCACCCTCACACACCCACACCCTTCTCTTAAAATACCTCCTCCCCAGGGCGGCCAGAGAGGAGCATTTACACAGCTGTCTGGGGCCCGTGCCCTCATGAATAATGTACGAGCCTCATGCATATGCAAGCAGGGGCCTGCGGGGTGCTGGAGGAGGGGCAGCTCAGATCCATGTGAATGTGTGTGTGTGTGTGAGTGTGTGTGTGTGTGTATGTGTGTGTCCCCTCCTTCACTTCACCCCCATCCCAAGTCTCGGTTAGCACTGAATGAGGGTGAGTTTGCCAATGGGCATTTGTGAGTGTGACTGGGTGTGTGTCCAGGGTGTTGTGTCCTGGCAAGGGTGTGCAGACGGTTGTGCCATGTGGTGTGTGCATGTTGTGTGTGGGGGCCTGCAGCAGCTCCGTGCACCGGGTGGAGCACATGGGACCTAATGTGATCTGTGGTTGTGTGTGGGTCTGAGTGACCCTCGGCAGGGGGCTGTGCGCATATGTGTGTGTTTCTGACCTAAGAGTCAGGGTGTATTAGTGTGCATGGGTGTGAATGTGGAACTCCGTGGAGGAGAAAGGGAGATTGGCTCAGTCATCATCCCAGGCTGCCCCTTGGGACTTCAACCCGTGCTCAAGCTTTCCCAGTTAGTGCCCCAACTCTGAACACAGACCACATTCCACACCCCCATGCCCAGGGTGCACACTGCCAATCGCACGGAAAGAACCCTTGGCCCCTCCAGATACACAAGCGGGACACACAGCCACACACCCCAGACACAGACCCGGGGGAAACACACACTCACACAGATTCACAGTGACATTAACAAAGAGAGACAATATGGGCACTTACAAGACAGGCGGCGTGTCTTCTGCACAAAGACACACACCCACAGTCTCGGGCCCCCCCCACATAAACCCCTTGATGAACGGAACAGCCTCAGACATAGCTCCTCACTCACTCACATGGCGATGCCAGCCCCTGGCACAAACTGAGATGGATAAATGTGGCCTCAGTGACCGATGGGCACTCATCATTTTGCCACATGGTGATGTGGCCCTCGGCACAAGTTTTCTGACAAAGACACAACCACAGTCACATCAGACTCACAGGGGACCCTAGAACCCCTGGGCATACTCCCCCTCCCCGCCTGTCCAGGGCGGACACACACACAAAACCCCCATATCCTTGAGGGGGAACTTTGATTTCAGAACGTCCATCAACCATAGTCCCCCAGTGGGGTCCCACAGTGCACCCACCCCTCCCTGCCCGCCCCACCCCCACGTCCCCCGCTGGGGCCCAGAGCCAACCCTCTCCCTGGCCTGGCTGTTTCTCATTGATGCTGCCTGAGAGGAACAAAGCCCCGCGCGTAGGGATGGGGGTCGCTCCTGCCCAGACAGGGCCTGGGGTCCCAGCCCCTTACTTCCCAGCGTCTGTGCCCCCAAACCAAGCCAGGGCTTCCACACGTGTCCATATGGACAGGTGGAACTAAAGGGGATGGGGGTAGGGGTCTGTGTCATGCTGTAAAGACGTGGGAGGCTGTGAAGGTGCTGGGGGACAGCCCCCGCTCTGAGCTGGTATCCCTCACAGGTCCTAGGGATCCATAGCTGGGCGGTCTAGGGGACCCCCACCCAACATTCACCTGGGACACCCAGTGTGTTCCCTGGGATAAGGGACAACACCTCAACCCAAGGTCTAAGGGAATAACGGGGAAACATGTTGGGATGGGGCCCCCCAGGACCTCCTCCCTGAGTCAGAACGGACCTGACCCAAAAGGACAGGGAGACAGCAGGGCGCCCCTTCCCCATGGCCGTTCCTCTGAGAGCAGATACCTTTCCATTGGGCACAGGGTGATCTGGGGGGCCCCCTCCCCACTGCAGTCCGGCCCGGAATCCTCCATTCATCGGCAAATTGGGAATCCCCACTTAAAATCCTGGGGTGTCTTGGCTGAGATACGGCGGTTCCCTGTTCCAGAGTCCCCCCATTCGGCATCTGGGTGTCCTCTTCTTCTCTCCAAACTCGGGGGGCCCCTCCCCTAACCCTGTTTCCCATTGCTCCCTCCCCAACCCTGAGACTCACCCCCAGCCCGGCCCCCTCCCCACCGGGGGGTTGTCTCCGGATTCCGCGGACAACCTTCCTCCCCAAATGTGTGTCCACCTGACATTCCCAAGCCCCCTCCCAGTTTGCGCTCCCTCCTCAACCCGGGGCTCCCCTCCCCCGCTTCAGCCCCCTCCCCATTCTGGGGGCTTCTCCCTGGTCTCATGTCCTCTCCCTAATCCCGAGCTCTGTGTCTAATCCCAAAGTCTTCTCCCCGCCAACACGGTCCCCTCACGGACCCCCCACCTGGCTCCTAGCTCGGACGCATCCCGGGGCGGTCGCGCGGCACAAAGGACGGTGCGCTTCGGCTCAGCTAGCTCCGCGCCGGGTCCAGCCCCTGCGCCCTGCGCTCCGCTCGCCCCAGCGCCGCCTCAGTGCTTATAAAGGGGCCGCGATGCCGCTCTGCGCATGCGCCCCCGCCAGCCCGAGGCGTCTGGCTGCGCGAGGGAGGGGGCTCCCCTGCCTAAAATCCCCACCCCGCCCATTTTTTGGACACCCACCGCACCCAGGAGAAGACGGCACTGACTCTCCTCCCATCCTCTTTGCCCCAGGAACCGCGTTAAACGTCCCCATTACGCCCCAGAATGAGGCGGTCCCATTTTACAGGTGGGGAAACTGAGCCCCAAGGAGGCAAAGTCGCTTCCCAAGGTCACGCACAGAGGCAGAGCTGGGATTCGAACCTCGCCCTGCCTGATTCTCTAGGGCTCACGTTCAAAGCAGTTTTGGCTACAATTACTGGTTTACCCCATTTACAGAGAGGAAATTGAGGCACGGACAAGACGGGGAGACTCCTTGTTTACACAGCTGGTAAGAGGCATGCAGGGTGGGAGATCAGGTGTGTGACACCCCTGAGCTGTTTCCAGCAACTCCAGCCAGATTGTATCATTCATTCATTCACCTTTGTCCGATCAGCATTTATGGTGCTCTGGCTATGGACTGGGTACTGCTGTTGACACAGGCAGAATTTTGCTTTATGCAGAGGCATAGGCTTGTCCCTGTCATGAGACATGAGACCCCAGTTTTTGTTTGTTTGTTTGTTTTGTTTTTTTTTTTTTCTGAGACAGAGTCTCGCTCTGTCACCCAGGCTGGAGTACAGTGGCACAATCTTAGCTCACTGCAACCTCCACCTCCCAGGTTCAAGCAACCTCCTGCCTCAGCCTCCCAAATAGCTGGGATTACAGGCACCTGCCACCATGCCCGGCTAATTTTTGTATTTTTAGTAGAGATGTGGTTTCACCATGTCAGCCAGGCTGGTCTTGAACTCCTGACCTCAAATGATCCGCCTGCCTCAGCATCCCAAAATGCTGGGATTACAGGCATGAGCACCCAGCCTGGAGACCCCAATCTTTAAAGCCTAGATCCAAGGCTGGGCGTGGTGGCTCACACCTGTAATTCCAGCACTTTGGGAGGCCAAGGTGGGTGGATCCCCTGAGCTCAGGAGTTTGAGACCCGCCTGGGCAACATGGGGAAAACCCTTCTCTACAAAAGAAAAATACAAAAATTAGCTGAACAGGGTGACCTGCACCTGTAGTCCCAGCTACTTGGGGGCTCAAAGCAGGAGGATCCCCTGAGCCCAGGAGGTCGAGGCTGCAATGAGCTGTGCTCGCGCCACTGCACTCCAGCCTGGGTGACGAAGCAATACCCCATCTCTAAAATAAATAAATAAATAAATAAACGCCTAGATCCATACAATGGAATGTTAGCCATAAAAAGGAATGAAGCACTGATCAATGCTACAATATGGATGAACCTTGAAAACATGATGCTCAGTGAAAGCAGACAGACACAAAAGGCCAAACAGTGTATGGCTCCATTTACAGAAATGTCCAGGTCGCATTGGGTGTGGTGGCTCACACTTTGGGAGGCCATGGTGGGAGGCTCCCTTGAGGCCAGGAGTTCAAGTCTAGCCTGGGCAACAAAGCGAGACCCTTTTGTCTCTACAAAAAAAACAAACAAACAAAAAGCAAAATGAAAAAACAATTATCCAGGCATGGTGGTATGTTCCTCTAGTCCCAGCTACACAGGAAGCTGAGGCAGGAAGATCTCTTGAGCCTAGGAGGTGGAGGCTGCAGTGAGGCATGTTTGCACTACTGCACTCCAGCCTGAGCGACAAGACTGTCTAAAAAAAAGAAAAGAAAAGAAAGGCTCAGATCAGGCAAATCCATAGAGACAGGAGGCAGATTAGTGAATGTAGGGGCTGGAGGAGGGGAAATGGGGAGTGACTGCTGATGGGGACCAGGTCTTCTTTTAGTGTGATGAAAATATTCTGGATCTAGACAGAGGTGATGGCTGCACAAAAACATGAATGTACTTAACACCATTGAATTGTACACTTTATTTTATTTATTTATTTATTCTTTTGAGACAGAGTCTCACTCTGTCGCCCAGGCTGGAGTGCAGTGGTGCAATCTCAGCTCACTGCAACCTCTGCCCCGACGGTTCAAGCGTTTCTCCTGTCTCAGCTTCCCAAGTAGCTGGAATTACAGGCGCACACCACTACGCCTGACTAATTATTGTATTTTTAGTGGAGATGGAGTTTCACCATGTTGGCCAGGCTGGTCTCGAATGCCTGACCTCAAATGATCTGTCCTCCTTGGCCTCCCAAAGTGCTGGGATTACAGGTGTGAGCCACCATGCCTGGCCTTGAATTTTACACTTTAAGATGGTGAGGTTTATGTTACATGTATTTGACCACTATTTAAAAAATAGTAATGAGGGCTGGGCTCGGTGGCTCACACCTGTAGTCTCAGCACTTTGGGAGGCCGAGGCAGTTGGATCACCTGAGGTCAGGAGTTTCAGACCAGACTGGCCGACATGGTGAAACCCTTTCTCTATTAAAAATACAAAAATTAGCTGGGCGTGCTGGCAGACACCTGTAATCCCAGCTGCTCAGGAGGCTGAGGCAGGAGACTCGCTTGAACCCAGGAGGCGGAGGTTGCAGTGAGCTGAGATCGCGCCACTGCACTCCAGCCTGGCAACAGAACGAGACTCTGTCTAAAAAAAGGCCGGATGCGGTGGCTCAGCCTGTAATCCCAGCACTTTGGGAGGCCGAGGTGGGTGGATCACAAGGTTGGGAGTTCGAGACCAGCCTGGCCAACATAGTGAAACCCCATCTCTACTAAAAATACAAAAATTAGCTGAGCGTGGTGGCATGCAGCTGTAGTCCCAGCTACTTGGGAGACTGAGGCTGGAGAATCACTTGCACCCAGGAGGCAGAGGTTGCAGTGAGCCGAGACCATGCCATTGCACTCCAGCCTGGGTGGCAAAGTGAGACTTCGTCTCAAAAAAAAAAAAAAAAAAAGGCCACGAGGAGTGAAATGTGCCCAGAGAGGGCAGCCTTTGCCCCTGCCTTTCTTCCTGTGGTAGTGGTGTCTCTGTGCTAAGAATGGGCTCACAGCACTCCACCCTGTGTCCTACATCTGTGAGTGTGTGTTTGAGCATCTCTGAGGGTGGGTGTTCGTCTGGCAGAAGATAGACAAATGAGGGACAAGATAGCTTCCACAAGATTATCAAAGAAAGGAGGCCTTGGCCAGGCTCGGTGGCTCACGCCCATAATCCCAGCACTTTGGGAGGCCAAGGTGGACAGATCACTTGAGGTTAGGAGTTCAAGACCAGCCTGGCCAACATGGTGAAACCCCACCTCTAATAAAAATATAAAATTAGGGTGTGGTGGCGGATGCCTGTAATCCCAGCTACCCGGGAGTCTGAGGCAGGAGAATCGCTTGAATCCTGGAGGCGGAGGTTGCAGTGAGCCGAGATCAGGCCACTGCATTCCAGCCTGGGCAACAGAGTGAGACTCCATCTCAAAAAAATAAAAAAGAAAAAAGAAGAAGAAAAGAGGCCGAGCACCGTGGCTCATGCCTGTAATCCCAACACTTTGGGAGGCTGAGGCAGGCAGATCACCTAAGGTCAAGGGTTTGAGACCAGACCAGCCCAGCCCACATGGCGAAACCCTGTCTCTACTAAAAATACAAAAATTAGCCAGGTGTGGTGGTGTGCACCTATAATCCCAGCTACTCGGGAGGCTGAGGCAGGAGAATCGCTTGAACCTGGCAGGTGGAGGGTGCAGTGAACCGAGATTGTGCCACTGCATTCCAGCCTGGGTGTTAGAGCACAATTCCATCTCAAAAAAAAAAAAAAAAAAAAAAAGATTATCAAAGAAAGGGTAGGAATGGATGATGAATGAGGAATAAGGGGGGACCCCAGGGCAGCAAGGGGTAGCCCTGGGGTCCAAGATGATACAGCGGGAAGCTGCACGGACTGTCCAACTCTGTGTCACAGAGGAGTGATGGAGGTCAAGGATCCCGGCTGATGTGAGCTTCTGCAGGTGACAGCTGTGTCAGCAGCACCCAAACAGCATGCGATGACTGGTCGGTGAGGCTGGAGTGTGCTCAGGGTATGGCTGTGGCTCACACTGGGGAAGACACTGAGAATGGCTCTGCGACGTGTGTGAGAACCGAGTAGCTCAGGCTCCACAAGTCTGGGGTTCAAATCCCCTCCCTGCCGCTTGTAATGATGTGACTCTGAGTGAGCCATCTTGTCTTTCTGTGTCTCAGTTTCCCCATCTGAAATGGAGATAGGCTAGGTGCCGGTGGCTCACGCCTGTAATCCCAGCACTTTGGGAGTCAGAGGCGGGAGGATCACCTGAACCCAGGAGTTCAAGACCAGCCTGAGCAACATAGTGAGACCCCCCATCTCTACAAAAAATAATTTAAAAGTTAGCAGGACATGGTGGCACACATCTGTGGTCCCACCTACTCAGGAAACTGAGGGGGAAGGATCGCTGGAGCCCAGGAGATTGAAGCTGCAGTGAGTCAAGATTGAATCACTACACTCTGGTCTGGGTGACAGAGTGAGACCCTATTTCAAAAATGAATAAAATAAAATAAAAAGGGGGGGCCAGGCATGCTGACTCAAGGCTGTAATCCCAGCACTTTGGGAGGCCAAGACAGGTGGATCATGAGGTCAGAATATGAGAGCAGCCTGGCCAACATGGGGAAACTCCATCTCTACTAAAAATGCAAAATTAGCTGGGTGGGGGTGGTGCGCGCCTGTAATCCCAGCTACTCAGGAGGCTGAGGTAGGAGAATCGCTTTAACCCAGGAGGTGGAGGTTGCAATGAGCTGAGATCGCACCACTGCATTCCAGCCTGGGTGACTGAGTGAGACTCTGTCTCGGGAAAAAATTAAATAAATAAATAAATAAATATGGGGGAAAATTGACGTCCCCACATTACCGGTTGCTCAGAGAATGAAATGGGAAGTAAACACACAGGTGGGGACTGCTGTTTATTTTACAGGTGCTGGGGAAACTGAGGCTCAGGGAGCTAGGATCACCTGCCAGAGGATGTACAGAGTGAGTAGAGACCAGGTGG